GATCGTCTTGTGGTGAGGCTTCAAGGTTCTGCAAACAGCCTCACCTGAGCATTCTTTATCAGGCACAAAAGAGGTGGATTGTCCTTTTGTCTCCTGCAGGGCTCAAATTCCCCTTGCCTGCTTTCCAGCACCATCCCTTCAAGCAAGGGTTGGCCAGGGACTGTATGTACACCCTACTGTGGCCCCACTGCCCCCAAATTTGAAAGGGCCCTTGTGCAGCTGTTGACCTGCACCCTAGAGAGTGAACCACTGCAGGGAACTGCTGCCAGTATGTGTTTATAGCTGTCCTTACAGTGTGCTCGGGCCAGGCAGCCAGGTGTACCAGGCAGCCTCTCCATGGCTGCCTGGTACACCAGTATTTTTCATCCTTGAATGGATCTTGAAATCTTGTCGCAGTGCTGAGCTTTGAACAGACCGCAGGCTAGGGAGCTTTGTAGATGCTGTGTATTTTTTCGACCTCCTCTTTGTGTGTGTTGCATTCCAAACTGATGCTTATGAGAAACTTAAGGAGATTCAAACCAGTAGCTGTAGGGATGCCTGAGGAACTGCAGTAGTTAGTGAATTGATGGCTTAGGGACTGGGGGGATGCACCATGGTGTCATCTTCCAGGGATGCATGTATACAGGGCCGCACAGTGAGGGGAAGCATCCCCACTGTGGTGAATTCCATGGCAGTATGTGGACAGCATGTGAACATCTTCAGTGGCACAGTCCCTGATTGCTGGGCTGCAGTGGCGTTTTCATGGATGCTGTGGCTGTGTGCCTTTTTTGTATTTCTTGTGAGTTTCTGCCCCCTTTCTCCTTGGTGCAGCACACACTGGAGACAGCAGTCATTCCTCAGCATAGCAACCACATTATTTCCAGACCCTGAATAATAGAAGTAGAGGATTGCGCAGGAAACTAGCCATTAAATCATTTTGTCAGAAAGTTGGACTCTTATGATAAATCTCAAATTGGATTACAAAATCTAGCATTCTACTGTCAAAATGTAGAATCAAGTGCTACATAAAACGTATTAAACATTTGCTATTATATTTCTGTAAAAGCCATTCCACTGTATAACATGTTAATATATCTTTTTGTGGTTCCTGGCTATCAATAAAACAAGATGGTAGCTCTGGGTATAACAGGACTTTGCTACAGCACAGCATTACATTTTAAGTTTTTTTTAAAAAAAACTATTAATCTTCAGCTAAACTGTTTTAAAGAGTGAATACCTTTCAACATACTATAAAATACATTTTATGATCACATGATGGCCAATAAAAGTTACTATTTCTATATGCAAAAAGGTTAAGCCACAGAGAGTTACTATGTGGAATACTACGGAACATGGAAAGGGCACAACAGGGGTTAGACATCTTGCAGTATTACATCCATCATTTTGCTCACTCTGTCAGCCTGTCCCTGTGTGCCTAACAACAGCTGCTAGACTGTTATGACATATTTGCAGTGAACTCTCCACTTGTTGGTTTGCCCCGCTTGTCAAGCTCGTAAAGGTAAAGGTTTCCCCTTGACCTTACGTCCAGTCATGCTTGACTCTAGAGGGCAGTGCTCATCTCCGTTTCCTAGCTGAGGGAGCCAGCATTTGTCTGCAGAGTTTCCATGGTCAAGTATTTATTTATTTGTAAGCCACCCCAAGGCTTAGGCAAATAGGGCAGCATATAATTCTGCTAAATAAATAAATGAATGTGGCCGGCATGACTAAACACCGAGGTGTACGGAATGCTGTTACCTTCCCACCGAAGTGGTGCCTTTTTATCGACTTGCATTTGCATGCTTTCAAACTGCAAGGTTGGCAGGAGCTGGGATGGAGCAGTGGGAACTCACTCCGTTGTCCAGATTCGAACCAGCAACCTTTCAATCAACCAGCCCAGCAGCACAGAGGTTTAAACCACTGAGCCACCTACAGTCCCGTCAAGCTCATGGTGGTGCATAATTCTCTTTAAGAAGGCCAGTTTGTATGGCATTGCAGCCACACATATCTACCGGAGGTTTTAATCTGAGTGTAAGGAATAAATCTCAGTACCTGAGAACTCTGGAGCATTAAATTACTTGTTGGCCTTTCAGGAGGGCCAACAAGTAATTTACTTGCTCAATATATGCATGGCATATAGAAAATTCCAGGTGGCAGAGGATGTGTTAGAGGGCAGCCTTCAGGGCTGGAGCTCTGAATCTTTCAACTAGAACCACAGATCTTTGGAAGTTCATCTGTCCCACTCCTGGGCTGCCTTTGAGCATTTGCCAAAATAAACATGCAAGGGCCTTGATTATCTCTGTTGCACCTGATCCTTTAGATTAGCTGACTTTTTGGCCGCATGTTTCACATCCTGTTGCCCACCACCTTGAATCTTCCAAATGATTTTTTTCCTGAAATCAAATCCCCTCCTTTGCCTTGTCCATACACGTTAAAAAAAAAAAAAAGAAATAGAGGAAAAAGAGTCTATTAAAGACATAAACAGAGAGATTTTAGAACGTATGTAAATTAACACTAGTAAATGTGTACAATTATTTTGTTCTGTGGGTCTGCATTGCAGACCTTTTCAATACCTAGCATTGCTGCTGCTGGGTTGAATCCCTGTATCTCCAAATATAGTTGGGAAGTACCCCTGTTAGAAACCCTGGCAGCTTCCTATGAATACTGTACACAGGTATGGAACAAAATTCTGAAATTCCTACTCCAAGACTAAAGAAATTAAAACTTTCACATCCAACAGATTAATCCTTGATTTTTAGATGGAATCTGTACCAATTCTCAGATTAATTTCTTAAGGAACATTCTGCCTCTAGTCATAAACAGTGTTTTTCTTGATAAACAGGAAATAATAAAGTCGCAGGCTGCGTTCCTTTGATGTTCAAAGCTGTACAACTCTCAGCATTCCCTAAGTAGTATGGCTGGTCGGGGATGCTGCAAGGTGCAGGATTTTTCTGTTCAAAATGAATTGTGCAGATAATGCTTGTAATAAAGTAAATCTATCACAAGCAAAGTGAAAAGCCAAAGTGGTCCCCATATACCAATACATGGTCACTGAATGAATATTTACAAATACATGTGGCAGAAGACGTGAAGATCTGCTTTCAACATAATTAATAAAATATTTGAAGATAAGAAAGCTTCGAAGGCTTGCTTCTTTTCCTCCTGTTCAGAATCCCACCAAACAGCCTGCAATGTGCAAGAGACTGGCCCACTTTTTACACTCAGTGAGCTTATGGCTGAGAGGAGACTAGAACCTGGATTTCCCCTATCTACATCCAGCACTCTAACCACCCTGCCATACCCACTGATTTATTGTATGTTTGGAGCTCAGTTCAGAGGACCTTGGAGAAGCCCCTTATTACAGTGGTATTACTCTTGATTGTAAGTCTCACATGAGGTCAGAAAGGAATTCATGGAAACAGCAGGACTATTAGTATTTTGAGGGCTCTGGAAGAGTGCTCAAGCACCCATTCATTCATTAAGGAGATGTTTCTCCAGAAGGGGGCAGCCATTTGGGAATCGAGGCTTAAGTGTGCTACTGATATCCCCATGGAGAAAAGGTCATTCAAGCTGTGTGTGTGGAAAAACTGCAGCTTCTGGAGTGATACCGAAAGAGACATGCAGAGAGATGAGCTGCTTTCTGCAGGATCTTATGGTGCTGGTGGCCTCCCTAGTAACCTAATGGAGGCATGGTATCTGTTGGTGTGTTACTGCTGTGAACCTCCACTTATGCTCAGCCTGGATATACAGTAGGTGCAAATAAACCAGACATCGCAAAATGCCATGGACATCCAGTTCTGCCATTCTAAATTGGCATTTTACTTCGGTGTGCCTTCCTTGCATAAAGCCGCAGGCCCTTAATTTGCTAGCCTATTATACATTCTGGGATGGATTAAGGTACTTCCAAAATCCTGGCAGTCTGAAGAAACAAACCTATTACACACAATACATTCTTCCTCCTCTCCCAACTTATGAAAAGCATCAACAGAATTACAGATTTAGAACATTTGAGTGACAACAAAAATGGCAACTGTATAAGAAAACTATGACTAATACATATTAAAATATACACATAGCGCAATAAGACAAACAGTCCACAAGTACAACTCTTTTATGTACTATAGTCATAAGACGATTGTAAGCCGTCCTGAGATGCCATCCATAAGGGATGGCATATAAAAGTTTAAACAAACAAATAAGAAGAAATAGACTCCTTTTTGTAATGTAGCTGTGAGGGGAGGAAATTTATATCTGGGAAATTGTGTGGATGAGTGTGTGCTAACACTATCAGTAGCAATGCTTTAAAAAAAGGATAGCCCTATCGTTGCTTGAAAGTTAAATTAAATTGGAAAAATCACATTGGAAAAATCAAATAGTTATTATCTCTTGTATCACATCTGTTTTGGCCCTTAGAGTGACTGAAAAACTGAGGGCAAATCTGCTGGGATGGAGGAAGAAGTGAGGGTTCCAGAGAGAACGGAGTTGCAAATATGGGTCATTGCCAACTGGGGAAGAAAGCCTGATCTGACCTATATGTTTCTACGGAAACTGTTTGATGGACATCAGTACTGGGGAAGTTGTGTGCATGCAAGCAAGAGGAGCAATGAATGTTGAGAGGAGATAGAAGAGGAAAAGTGAAGGGCTGTGAAATTGCTTAGACATTGCCAAGTGTTGAGAACATAAGTGTTACCTGTTGTTATGGCTGAAGAAACACTGTAATTTTTCACTTGTCGTAAGGGGGTGTGTTGGTGGGTGCGTTAAGGGCCTAGAGTTTTCAATGAAAGGGATGCATAAATGCTTAATGGGGCTCTGCTGTACAAGCTATCTTTAGTAAGCACATACTGCATTATACAAAATGGGCCATGCTTGAAGAGGTGCCTCAATTCATGTGCAAATCTTACTTGAATTGTACATTTAAATTCCACTCTAGCCTACACTGGAATAGAGACTATCGAGAACACAAAGCCCAGAAACATGGCTTATTACAAGTACTCGATTGAAACATCATTGGCTGAAAATCTACAATGCTACGTTTTCAAGTAACTGTTTTTCTGGTCACATTTCTAGTGGAAGAGGAGGCTGCAGAAAAAGTGGGTAAAGGCCATCATTTATATCAGAGAAGCCTCAACATACTGAAACATTCTAAACATACAAAAGGAATGGAAAAGTAAGTGTTCATTCCCCTGTTTTGCTCACACTGCACTACAGGAGATGTAAATCAGTACATCTATGCAAACACGGCACACTGCTCATTATAAGGCCTCCTATTTATATTTTCAGCGACTTTCTTTGCAAATTTCCACAAGCAAATTCACTCTTCTTTCTTGTGGCAGGGGAGCCCAGGTAATGAAGGAAAGAGAAAGGTCACATAGAGCAATATCACCTTTTTAAAGTCCCTGGTTGATACACAAAAGAGAAAGTGCATTAGGCCCAACATCTGCAGGAATAGGAAGGTGCACACCAACCTAAACTACTGAAAACAAGATGTTGGAGCGTATAAGAGCAGGCTCTCTTTTTTGATGCAGTGAAGAGCCACACCCCACCCGCTCAGAGGAAGGAAGGAAGAGGGGAGAGATAGAATGAACAGAGAGAGAAGCTTCAAGTTGGAGATGGGATGGGGAGGAGCTGGTCTTGATAAACAGATTGACAAAAGTCCTGAAAAGCATTCGGGGTCAATGTGTAATCTCTTGACAGAGTCACTAGATCTCAAATAGAAGTCAGTCCTGTGGTTGTGTGTCAGCCCCAGTATACAGGCAGGGGAGAATGGAAGGCCTTAAATCTAGACAAAGTGCGTATGTTTCAAGTTTTTTATTTCCCAAGTCTTGCCCCTCTTTGGAAGCTGCATAATATCTATGGTGGGGATTAATTACATGAGCCCACCCCTCCCTACTGCCACCACTAGTATCCTAGAGGAATTCTACATTCATCACAACCCCAGAAACAAGGTTATATAGGTGTGGCTTTTGGTATCATTCAACTACACAGCAAGCAGTTCGAATGAAATAAGCTGGTGAAGAGCTTGGCTTTCCCTCAGCTAGAATGGCCTCCCCTCTTCAAGCCTAGCTGAGAGGAAGCAGGAGCAAAATGTTGTTGGGGGCAGAGGGAGCTTTTAGGGTTAAAACAGTAATTGGAAGCATTAAAGCCCCTGCCCTGCTCTAAAAGCCCCACACTCCTGTGCTTGTTGTTGAGCCAACAAAAGGCTGGGAACTCAAGGTTGTAGAAGAGAGACATCATTCTGCCTTGAGTTTATCCATCTGGGTCCACTTGCTGAACAGAATGAAATTCAAAATACGTGATCTTAGTGTAGTAAAGTCATGTTGGGGAACTAAACGTGAACAGATTGTGTTGACCTGTGTTGCATCCAAAATGAGTCAGTAGACATTGCCTTGATCAATACCTCCTTTTTTCAGAGTACATCCCCTAGACCCAAATACTTTCCATTGTTATACTTTTCATTCTCAAAGGGTTCTGAATTAATGCATTAAGACTGCACGTATATTACCTGATCCTTCTGCACTTGGAGCTTTTCTTCATGAGGTATTTCTTGTGTGTTCATGATCCCTTACAGTTGTTTACAGGTTCTTTAGGCAAAATCATGTTCTTCCAGTTTTTCTTTTCTTGTTTAAGTGTCCTCCCCTTCCCTCCCCTCCCCCACCCTGCTTTTTGTAGCAGAAAAAGAAAATGGGGTATTATTTCTGAAAGCAAAAGGACAGCTTGTGTATTTGCACGTTTCTAGCATACCTCCACCTAGGGGATAAGAAGCAGAACAGCAGGAAAGGAAAAGCTCTTCATGCTGACAGCAGCTGAATTGGAATAATTCTGTTCCAAAATATTTAATATCTGTTGATGGCATTAGATCTGTAATACATGTACATCCTAAGTAAAAGTTGCATTGTGAAGTCATGCATCTGCTTGTGTGAAGTAGCTCTAAGCACATTCTGAATTCATGTGTTTCAGAACAATGCTGTCACTACCATATGGTTTTACTATGGCCTTCCCTAGCCGTTGGATTGCAATGCTCATCATACCCCAGCTAATGGCCATGCTATCTGAGGATACTGGGAATTGTAATCCAGCACACCTGGAGGGCATCTGGTTGAGAAAGGCCACTGTACTACTAATCCCAGTTAAATGCCTCTTTCCAGTAATGGGTCTATAACATTTAGCAGGAAATGTGGTTGAATCCAATCCACATCTCCCTTACTGCAGTGTTTGGTACAAGAAGTGCATGATGTCAACATGTTCAGTGTTTTCCCAGCCATTCAAGCAGCAGCAAATGAAGAAGAAAAACACTGAATAGGATGAAACCATTTCATATTTCCTTTTACCAAATGTTACTGGGATGATGTGGGGAGCGAGATCATGGGTCAATATCAGCTGTGTACCTGTGCAGTGGAACATGTTGGTGCACTATCACTGGCACTGTCGATGTTACACTGTATGTGAAGGTGTGAGAGACTTAAATGCCTGATTGACTAAATCTGAAATTTGTATCTCTGTATCAGAGCCCAGCAGTTCCTTATGAAGGCAGCAGAAATGGGGAGCCAGAAAGCTATGGAGAATTTGGCAGCTGACATGCTATTTGGATTTAACGGTCCTCAGGATGTAAAAGCAGCTATATCGTTGTATGAGATTTTAGCTGAAGAAGGGTCTCATAAAGGCCAGACTGTATGTGTTCTTTAATTAGCTCAGGCTTTAAATAGGCATTTGTCTACTTAGCGGTGCATAAATAATTTGAAAAGCAGTTAAAATGTGATGTACTTTGAGCCAAGGTGGGGGAGCAAAAATTAATTGTTCATTAAGCTGCCTGATTTGAAGAGGGCTACTGGATGTATTCAGAAAACATCTCCAGAAGTTCTATGACCAGTGAAACTACAGGTCAATCCTGACTCCTCTGAAGATACTGTGAAGGTGGCTAGTATTTCCCTGGAGTCAAAATTACATGTTTTAAGCTTATTATTACTGAAATTACTGGAACTGATTATATTTTCACACATGTCTAGTGTAGATGAAACATCATAAAACAACCCTATGATGGAATCAAATAACAGAAAAAGCCAATTATACATAAGAGAATGCCTGAAAATTAAGTTATGCAAGCATATTGTGTACTTAGTAAATCATTACAAAACTCTCCTCACACTCTTATACTGTTATGGTTCTAGTTGAAACTAAGCTAGTCATCCTTTAGTCCCATTGAAACCAAGTAACCTGCCCCACTGATTTCAATGGGAATAATACTTGATTGACTTAGTGTGGCTATAAGCCAGTGCCTCCACTGTAGAAAATGATGAGGTATTTAGCATTTGCTTAGACTTTTAGAACATACAACTATTTGAGCTGCAACAAACTAACTGAAATATTTCTTGTTGCTTGAGATAACTTTTAATGTTACATCTTGATCTTATGTATGACAAGTATGTAATTTATAGGTATATTTATTGTACATAATATTATATATACTTATATGCATAAGTGTCACCTATATGAAAACAATTTTATTGTAAATAAACCACTCATTAAAATGTCACTTTGTGTGACAAAAAAAAACCAGCACCAGCCACTTCCAGCTTCTGTGGTACTGTATGGAAAACTGAATTAGGATGTGATCCTGTAGTCCTAGACAGCATATGGCGCTCCATAAGATACTTGAGATTACTACCACCAAGGAGGACTGTGCTCTGACCTCAGGGTTTGGTGTTGGAGTTTCAAACTCCTTCTCTACCCTCTTGTAGTGGACACAGAAAGAACCATGCTTAACTGCTGTCCAAGGTCAAAAAAGCAACCTTGGAGAAGAAGAAAAAAGTCCAGGGAGGGACTGGGGCTGCAAAGGGGAAGAGAGGAGGCTGGAATCAGTGGCCAGGATTCAAGGTATCCTGAAGCCACTCCAGCCTTCTTCCTCCTTCTCTAAGATACTATTGTTAGACTGCTGAAAACAGACATCTAGTGAAAATGCAGAGCAGGAAGAGTAAGAAAATGAGGATTGCCTCTCTTGCTCTGTTGCATTGGATGAATCACATAATCATAGAATTATAGACTGGTGGCCAACATCCCGTTTTTGGGCAAGGCGTTTGAACGGGTGGTGGCGGGACAACTCCAAGCACTCTTGGATGAAACTGATTATCTGGACCCATTTCAGTCCGGCTTCAGACCCGGGTACGGTACTGAATCTGCCTTGGTCGCCCTGTATGATGACCTGTGCAGGGAGAAGGACATGGGGAGTGCGTCCCTGTTGGTTCTCCTGGACCTCTCAGTGGCTTTCGATACCATCGACCATGGTATCCTTCTGGATAGGCTGGCGGGACTGGGAGTAGGAGGCACTGCTTGGCAGTGGTTCTGCTCCTATCTCGACGGCTGATTCCAGAAGGTGGTGCTGGGGGAATTTGGCTCTGCTCCATGGCAGTTATGCCATGGCATACCACAGGGTTCCATTTTGTCCCCCTTGCTATTCAACATCTACAAGAAACTGCTGGGAGAGGTCATCAGGAGGTATGAGCTGCGGAATCATCAGTATGCTAATGATACCCAGCTCTACCTCTCTTTTTCAACCAATCCAGGTGAGGCAGTGGCTGTACTGAACTGGTGCCTGGCCAAGGTAATGGGCTGGATGAGGGCCAATAAACTGAAACTTAATCCAGACAAGACGGAGGTCCTGTTGGTGGGTGGATCGAGCTCCTGGGTAGGTGGCCTGGACCTTGCCCTGGATGGGGTTGCACTCCCTCTAAAGGACAGGGTCCACAGCTTGGGAGTGCTCCTCGACCCGGAGCTGTCCTTGGAAGCTCAAGTGACTGCGGTGGCGAGGAATGCTTTCCTTCAGCTTTGGCTAATCTATCAGCTGCGTCCCTACCTGGAGGAAGATTGCCTAGCGACAGTGACACATGCATTGGTTACTTCCCAGTTGGATTTCTGCAACGCGGTCTATGTGGGACTTCCCTTGAAGACAGTCCAAATACTTCAGATGGTGCAAAACAGAGCAGCCAGGTTACTGACAGGGACTGGGCGTTATTCTCATATAACCCCAGTCCTCTGTCAACTTCACTGGCTTCCCACTGAAGTCCGGGCTCAATTCAAGGTGCTGGTTATTACTCATAAAGCCCTTAATGGCTTGGGACCTGGATACCTAAAGGATCGCCTTCTTCCATATTTCCCCTCCCGCCCCCTGAGATCGGCAGCAGAGGCCCTCCTCCGGGAACCCTTCATGAAAGATATTAGGAGGCAAAGTACCCGGAGGTGGGCTTTCTCTGCGGTGGCACCCCACCTATGGAATGCACTCCCCAGAGAGATCCACCTGGCGCTGTTGTTATTTGTTTTTCGGCGCCAGGTTAAGACCTTTTTATTTCAGCAATATTTTAATAAGTTTTAATATTGTCTCTTATATGTTTTTAACTGCAGCCAGTGTGGGTCTGTAATTTATTCATGCTATATTTTATGTTATTTCATTTATGTAAGCCATCCTGAGGCTTTCGCAATAGGACTGCATATAAATGTTCTAGATAGATAGATAGATAGATAGATAGATAGATAGATAGATAGATAGATAGATAGAGTTGGAAGGGGCCATGAAGACCATCGGGTCCAACCCCTGCTGTCACAGAACACCAAGTCACACCATCCCATTCAAATGGCCATCCAGCCCCTTTTTGAATGTCTCTAGTGTGGGAGAGCCCACCACCTCTCCAGGCAGCTGGTTCCACTGTTATATTGCTCTGACAGTGAGGAAGCTTTTCCTGATGTCCAGCCTGAATCTGGGTTGTCACAATGAATAGTGGCTTCTCCTCTTTTCCATAGGAGTCCACTCTTATAACATGGACAACATGCTGTTTTCAGTGCTGTGGGGCATATAGAAATGATGATGATGGTGAGGAGGAGGATGATAATGACGACAACAACAACAACTTGAGAGGAATGACATATGAGTTTTAACCATTTAATTAATCATTAAATGGACCTCTGCTTTTCATGTTGTTTTCTGCAGCATGATAATCAAACTATGAATCTCTTATACATCTCTGACCTCACATGTAAAAGTGCTGGAATAAATTTAGATGCATCTGTGATAAACATGGAAGTACATGTCTGTACCTCAAGGAGATGTCATACACAGTCTATCTGAAAATTGTGTGTGTTTGTATCATTCACCAACTAAGAATTCATGAAAGGGAGTACAGGCACGTCTGTGTGCTCATATAATGTTTTATTACATTGTATTAATGTGACTGGGAGATGTCCATATAATGTATTTATGTTTCAGTATTCAAAGAGATGAACAGTATGACAGCTTCATGAACATTACTTATTTAAGCACAGTCTTCTTTGACTTTGCCCTTGTATTTTATGAGTTCCCATAACTCTCAATATCCCTTGGCCATATTAAGGTGCATCTCACATTTTGAGAGCTGCATTTTAAGAAAATGACTTTCAAACAAAGCAATACAACCATGATATTAGAAAAAAATCTAGGAAGTTCAAGCAGATGCTTGAAATGGTGATTTACACTTCATTTGTCAAATGTCATCACATCTTGGAGTAGATTTTAAAATATTGCAAGATTCATTTATGCAGGCAAGCACTTTAGTCCCTTGCTTGCATAGTTCCTGCTGGAGCACAGAAACATTCTCTCAGAAAAGAAAAGTAATTCCATATTTGATGTATAAAGCCTGCCTAAGAGGTAAGCTGGTAAGGCCTGAATGTGAGTGGGCCATTCTAGTGAAAGTGATGAAATAGTTTTCTTTTTGCAGGAGAACCCTGTATAAGAGGATGGGGTGGCATATCCTCCTCAAGAGTAGATTGCACAGAGTGGCCAGATACAAAAGAGGGCAAGGATCCTTTAATCATTGTGCAGAAGAGAAGATTGCCCTTCAGCATTGGCCTACATTGGCCGAAACAATCCTGGGCATACACAGAATAGTAGCAATTTTCTTTTAAGTTGTAGCTGCGCTTCCCCTAGAATCCAAGTTTTTTGCCTTGAGTTTTCCCAGTGAATTGTCATAATAATTACCTAAGTCTGGAGAAAAGTCTTGTGTTTCCACACATACAGTAATATGCAATAAACAACAACAAAACTCCTCTTGATTTAACATGTGTTAAAGGTTTCCCATTTTCACTCAAGTTCCACAATCCTGAGAAATTACAGAAGTTACTGCTGCACTATTCAGGCAACCTGTATGCATTGTGGTACCCAGTGCCGTGGCTAGTTCCACCTTTACCACTGCTTTAAAGTGGATGGTTGTCAGTGGCAGAGTGATGGAACAAGCTTCCATGTTTATTATTTATTTATTTATTAAAACATTTCTATGCCTCCCCCATCGCAACAAAACCTCGGGGCGGCTCACGAAGAATACATAAATACATAAATAATAACAATACAACACATTAAAAAAAAGTTTGTCTGGAATAGTTTCACTAGGTAGACACATAGAATCTGTCATGCTACTGACATTTCCTCCACATTTCAGGTACCCAGTTGGCAACTTCCCATTGATACTTTATATTCTTTTCTCACCCATAAACACAAAGGCAATACTAGGCTTGCTTGCTTTTCTCAGCTACTACTTGCATGCCATTGCACATATTTCTCTTCCTTCAGGCCCACCATAATTGGAGAAAATGTGGAAAGAAATTGAGAAGCCCCTCAGACCCAAATATCTGCAGGCAAATTGCTTATCATGCACTGCCTATCTTAAGTAAAGCCATTGCAGTTTCATAGATCCATCCATGAAGCCACCTCTCACTTCCTCACCCGCCCCCCTCTTCATATGCATAGTGGTTACTGTTGGCGGCCATGAACTAAAGCCTTGTTTTTGCATTGTGCTTGTTGAATTAGTATCACATGAGGCACTCTTTTGCTTTGGTCTGCTCCTCATATGGTAAGAACCAGTATATACCATGTCAGGACACTTTGTTGACATCTTGGTGGCAAACCTGTGCTTAGAATGTAGCAGATTGCAAGTGACCTAGATGATTTTCTATCCATCCACATAAAACAAAACAAACCTAGCAGGGAAACTTCTTCCTTTTTCTCTTTAATGGGAGAGCATCCAGTCACATGTTATTTCTGCCCACTTCCCGCTACACCATTACAAGCTTGTGAGAAGTGGGATGCAGCAGACAAATTCGATTTCAAAGCCTGTTTCAGCTCCCTCTTCATATTTCAATGCCCTCCTACCCTTTAAAGGCTTTCCACTATCAACTGTCCTATGGGAGGCATCCCTATTAATAGTTATATTTTAATGGCAGTTGTGACTTCATGTTTACTCCGATTTTATTGATATCTTTATGTTACTTGTAGCCACCTTTGGAAGGATTTCTGTCCTGAGAGGCATAATACGAATAATTGTATTAAAGAAATACACAAGGAGTCTGAGGTGGTATAAACCCAAACCAATTTATCACAGTACATTTCCTACATTTCACTACAGTGTCCTAGAGTAAATGTACCAGTCACCTTCACACAAGAGTGCATTCAGGCTTAATATTGACATGGTAAAATCAACTTAGGAAAACTTTGCCACTTCAATAACTGTGTCTAAGAGAACGGTTAAAAATAGATGATCAAAACCAGGAGGAATTGGCTGAATGTTTGCTTTTATTTGGTCCTACAGGCATTAGGGTTCTTGTCATCATATGGAATAGGAATGGAATATAATCAAGCAAAGGTAATATAGTGCTATACTAACATTACTACATTGTCACTGAAATCATTGATCTGTATTAATATGTCCTTTTTGCTTCTGGCGTGATTTTTAATCATATTCTCCACTTAGGCACTTGTATACTACACATTTGCAAGTATTGGAGGAAATCTTATATCCCAAATGATTATGGTATGTAAATCACATATTTGAATATTCCCAATTCTAAACTCCTGAGTGGTAAGACAATTATAAGTTTTCTGGTTCCCCTGTTCTTCTTGCTCCCTTTCTTCCCATCTTCTTTTTCAGGGCTATCGGTACTGGTTAGGAATCAATGTTCCAAGGAATTGTGAAAGAGCACTAATTAATTACAGGAAAGTTGCAAGTTTTAGTAAGTTATCACATCATGTCCTGTTCTAGAATATTATGTTGTTATTTAAAACCTGTATTTAAAAAATGGAAAAATTCTCACCCTGTATTAGTGAACAGACGAAAGTGAAACAGACATTCAGAAAAGCTAGGAACCGATTTATTTGGAATCTCAGGATATGTTAAAATGCAGTCACAGCAGCTCAGTACTTGAGATTTTCTTGGGCAGAGCAGTTATGAAGCCTGGTGAGGAGAGAACAAAGTGCTTTGCAGAGGTGTTCTCCCATCCACCCACTTTGCCATACTTTGTTGCATTGAAATGCAACAAAATTGAATTGGAATTGGAATGGATTTAATTGACACTGTTACCTTTCACTGTAGGTGAGATACTCAATACTTGGGGGCGGGGAAGGTGCAAAATATTTTTATTGTGTCACAAAAGTAAGCAGAAACAAAGTGGTGCTTGTTGGTTGCATCATTATTCACCCCCTGAGTAGATGCCTCTTTGGCAACAATTACAGATACAAGTCTTCTCTTGAGGAAATCTCAATCAGCTTCACACATCTGGATCCTGCAAATGTTTGCCCATTCCTGGCAAAACTGCTCTCGCTCTGTCAGGTTGGATGGGACCATTGATGAACAGCAACATTTGTGTCTTGCTACAGATTCTCAGTTGGATAGAACCCTGGGTTTTGAATTGTTGTTGTTGGTCGTGAAGTTGTGTCTGACCCATCGCGACCCCATGGACAACATTCCTCCAGGCCTTCCTGTCCTCCACCATCCCCTGGAGTCCACTTAAGCTCACACCAACTGCTTCAGTGACTCCATCTAGCCACCTCATCCTCTGCCGTCCCCTTTTTCTTTTGCCATCTATTGTTCCCAGCATTAGGCTCTTCTCCAGGGAGTCCTTCCTTCTCATTAGGTGGACAAAGCATTTGAGTTTCATCTTCAGCATCTGGCCTTCTAAGGAGCAGTCAGGGTTGATCTCCTCTAGGACTGACCGGTTTGATCGCCTTGCAGTCCAAGGGACGCACAGGAGTCTCCTCCAGCACCACAATTCAAAGGCCTCAATCCTTTTGTGCTCAGTCTTCCTTATGGTCCAACTTTCACAGCCATACATTGCAACTGGGAAAACTATAGCCTTGACTATACGCACTTTTGTTGGCAGGGTGATGTCTCTGCTTTTTAGTATGCTGTCTAGATTTGCCATAGCTTTCCTCCCCAGGAGCAAGCGTCTTTTAATTTCTTGGCTGCTGTCCCCGTCTGCGGTGATCTTGGAGCCCAGGAAAATAAAATCTGTCACTACCTCCATTTCTTCCCCATCTATTTGCCAGGGAGTGAGAGGACCAGATGCCATGATCTTAGTTTTCTTAATGTTGAGTTTCAAGCCAATTTTTGCACTCTCCTTCACCCACATCAAGTGGCTCTTTAGTTCCTCTTCACTTTCTGCCATTAGAGTGGTATCATCTGCATCCCTGAGGTTGTTGATAGTTCTCCCACCAATCTTAATTCCAACTTGTGATTCATCTAGCCCCGTCTTTCTCATGATGTGTTCTGCATATAAGTTAAATAGGCAGGGCGACAGTATACAGCCTTGCCGAACTTCTTTCTCAATTTTGAACCAATCGGTGGTTCCCTATCCAGTTCTCACTGTTTCTTCTTCACCTGCATATAGGTTTCTCAAGATACAAATAAGATGGTCTGGGATTCCCATCTCTTGAAGAACTTGCCACAATTTGTTGTGATCCACACAATCAAAGACTTTAGCGTAGTCAATGAAGCAGGAGTAGATGTTTTTCTGGAACTCCCTAGCTTTCTCCATGATCCAGCGTATGTTGGCAATTTGATCTCTAGTTCCTCTGCCTCTTGAAATCCTGCCTGTACTTCTGGTAGTTCTCGGTCCACATACTGCTGGAGCCTAACTTGTAGGATTTTGAGCATAACTTTGCTAGCCTGTGAAATGAGTGCAATAGTGCGGTAGTTTGAATATTCTTTGGCATTGTCCTTCTTTGGGATCGGAATGTAAACTGACCTTTTCCAGTCCTGTGGCCACTGTTGAGTTTTCCAAGTTTGCTGGCATATTGAGTGTAGCACTTTTACTGCATCGTCTTTTAAGATTTTGAATTGCTCAGCTGGAATACTGTCCCCTCCACTAGCTTTGTTGTTGGTCAGACTTCCTAAGGCCCATTTGACTTCACATTCCAGGATGTCTGGCTCGAGGTCAGTGGCCACCCCATCGTGGTTATCAGGGATGTTAAGCTCTTTCTTGAATAGTTCTTCTGTGTAATCTTGCCACCTCTTCTTAATCTCTTCTGCCTCTGTTAGGTCCCTGCCATTTTGGTCCTTTATCATGCCCATCTTTGCATGAAACGTTCCCTTCATATCTCCAATTTTCTTGAAGAGATCTCTGGTCCTCCCTATTCTATTGTTTTCTTCTGTTTCTTTGCATTGTTCATTTAAGAAGGCATTCTTATCTCTTCTAGCTATTCTCTGGAATTCTGCATTCAATTGGGTGTATCTTTCTCCTTCTCCCTTGCCTTTCACTTCCCTTCTTTCCTCAGCCATTTGTAAAGCTTCCTCAGACAGCCATTTTGCTTTCTTGCATTTCTTTTTCTTTGGGATGGTTTTAGTTGCTACCTCTTGTACAATGTTGCGAACCTCTGTCCATAGTTCTTCAGGCATTCTGTCTATCAGATCTAATTCGTTAAATCTATTTGTCACCTCTACTGTATATTCATCAGGGATATGATTTAGGTCATACCTGAGTGGCCTAGTGCTTTTCCCTACTTTCTTCAATTTAAGCCTAAATTTTGCAACCAGAAGCTCATGATCTGAGCCACACTCAGCTCCTGGTCTAGTTTTTACTGACTGTATAGAGCTTCTCCATCTTTGGCTGCAGAGCACATAGTCAATCTGATTTCTGTGTTGACCGTCTGGTGATGTCCATGTGTAGAGTCGTCTCTTGGGTTGTTGGAAAAGAGTGTTTGCTATGACCATCGTATTCTCTTGACAAAATTCTACCAGTCTGTGCCCTGCTTCATTTTGCACTCCAAGGCCAAACTTGCCTGTTATTCCGGTTATCTTTTGTCTTCCTATTTAGCATTCCAATCCCCCAGGATGATAAGGACATCATTTTTTGGTGTTAATTCTAGAAGGTGTTGTAGGCCTTCATAGAACCAGTCAACTTCAGCCTCTTCAGCACCAGTGGTTGGGACATAGACTTGGACTATTGTGATGTTGAATGGTTTGCCTTGGATTCAAACTGAGATCATTCTGTAATTTTGGAGATTGTATCCCAGTACTGCTTTTCCTACTCTTTTATTGACTATGAAGGCTACTCCATTTCTTCTGAGGGATTCTTGCCCGCAGTAGTATACCTGATCGTCATCTGAATTAAATTCACCCATTCCTGTCCATTTTAGTTCACTGATTCCTAAGATGTCGATGTTCAGTCTTGTCATCTCTTGTTTGACCATGTCCAGCTTGCCTTGATTCATGGATCTTACATTCCAGGTTCCTATGGAGTATAGATCTTTGCAGCATCAGACTCTCCTTTCACCACCAGACACATCTGCAACTGAGTGTCCGTTTGGCTTTGACCCAGTCGCTTCATTCTTTCTGGCGCTACTAGTACTAGTTCATTCTTTCTGGCCCTCCGCTCTTCCCCAGTAGCATATTGGACACCTTCCAACCTGAGGGGCTCATCTGGCGTCATATCTTTTTGTCTTTTGGTACTGCCCATGGGGTTTTCATGGCAAAGATACTGGAGTGGGTTGGGGTTGCCATTTTCTTCTCCAGTGGATCACGTTTTGTCAGAGCTCTCTGCTATGACCTGTCCATCTTGGGTGGCCCTGCACAGCATAGCTCATAGCTTCATTGAGCTACACAAGCCCCTTCGCCACGACAAGGCAGTGATCCATGAAGGAGGGGTTTTGATTAGGTCTTTCTAAAACATGCGGGTTCTTGTTTTTAAGCTATTGCAGTCTTGCTTTGGCTGTGTACCTACGGTCATTGTGTGCTGGAAGGTAAATCTATGTCCCAAACCCAGATCCCTTGCAAACTGAAAGAAATTTTCCTTTAGAATTGCTCTATATTTGGCTCTATCCATCTTGCTCTCAATCCTGACCAGTTTCCCAGTCTCTGCTGAGCAAAAACATTGGGAATGGTGTTCTCAGGGCAATGAGCACTGTTGACTTTGGACCACAGATAGTGTTTTATAAGCAAAAAGTTTCAGTTTGGTCTCATCATACCATTGAACCTTTTCCCACAAGTTTGCTGTGTGTTCATGCTGCCTTTTTGCAAACTCCAACTGGCTTTCTTCTTCACCACTCTTCCATAAAGTCTAGTTTTGTGAGTCATACAGTTAATAATTATCCCATGGATGGTTTTTTCCATCTCAGCTGTGAATCTCTCCAGTTCCTTCAGAATTACTTTTGGTTTCTTGGCTGTCATCCTTACCCTTGTCATTGAATTTTGGATGTACTAATAGATCACTTTCTTTTCAGCAGAAAAAGCTGCTATACTGCTTCCTTCAGATACGTCTGCCCCTAATACCATATTGTACAAGTACTATCGCACACATTTGTGCATCAGTGCTAGCAGCTATTTTCTCTCCATTCCTAGTTCTTTGGATTCAGTCCCAAGATATCATGCTGGGACTTGGCAGAAGCAAGTGCTTAGGATCAGAACACCAGTTTCTCTGTCATAGTCCTATCTGTTCCATTTGCAAGGAAACCCTAAATCTGCACAGATTTTGGGAAAAGGATGATCTGCTTGTACTGTTTGGTGATGTTTTTATTAACAGTTGCTAACAAATTAGAAAAAAATGAAGATATGCCAGTTGAAAAGGTGAGGCTGATGGGAAGACCAGAAAATCTGAGTTTTAATGCAGAATTCTTGGATTGGGAAGTCTATCAGTACTACAGGTTTTTGGCTGAAAGAGGAGATACACAGATACAGGTAAGAGACCATTTGTTTGATTACAGTAATTAACTTCTTTTATATTTTCCTTTAAGCAATTGTTTTAGATCATATGGGATACATTTACATGAATACAGACATAATTTAATTGGCTTCAAAAGTGCTTGAGTTGCACACTGTTTTAAGCTACATACTATATAATACAGGAGATAGAGTTCATTTTTTAATTGGTTTAAAGTCAGAGTCTCCTTTCAGCAATGGTAGTATCCCTTGACTGGAGGTCTCCTCAAAACTCTGCTCCTGCTGGAAGTGAAGGGAGGTGATTTTTGCCTGTCTTCTAAGAGCCCACAGCACTACCTCCCATGCTATTCTGGAGGTTCCCTCCATCTTCTGGAGCACATTTTCAGGAATCATAGTGAGAGGGGGAATCAGTGAATTCTCCCTCATTCCATCACCTGGATTTCCTCCACTGGATCAGAGGTCTTTCATAACAAGGAGGGAGCCCTTTTTGCCCATGGAAGGTAAATCCTGGATTCAGCCTCTTTTAAAAAAAGGTTTCTAAATATTTCTCTTGATGAAAACAATGCTGAAACACCTTGGGACTGATTTGAAATCTTAAAAACACTTAATAGTTTTTACATATATTATCTGTGTACCCAATGGCTTGGACCTTCCTCCCCACAGTTCAAACTTTTTCATAGTGCAAGTGGCTCTTTTACTTGTTTGATTGTTTGTACTACTGGCCACAGGAATTTATCCGCAGAGATCCTAATGTATGTTCAGGATTTTAAACAGTAAAGGCATCAAATATTCTCCAGGGCCTGTTGTTGTGATGGAATGTCTGCCTTAGGTAAAAACTTATATAACCCCCCGACCTCCTAAGAGTGTCACTTAAATGATAGGGCGCATACAAACACAGTCACCGTGTTTTTCCCCCCTTCCACTGTTGTGAGCCTAATTTCCCGCACAGCTTCAGTTGCTGTACATGAAGAGTTGATGATGAACGTACTGCTTTACTGAGGCATCTGTTTTTATTCTGGAAGGAAAAATAGTCCTTTCTATGGGCTTTTACCTCCTGGGGTTGTATTTTTTTACATTCTCCCTTTCTCCCCTTCTATTCATTTTTCACCTTTCTATCATTCAGTTAACCAAACACAAGGTGGTGGTCTGGTATAGCTGCACTATACTCCCCTTGCAACTTTTCACAAGGTGTTTTTTCTGGTTTCTTGTGATATGAAATTTAATACCAGACTTTCTTCGCCCTAAAGCACACACACGCACATCCACGCACACACTACTGGAAAAACTGAGAGGGCCTGGAGGTTGTGATATTTTAAAAAGGTTTGCAAACTTCCATGAATGAGGGATCATGAAGGCATGATAAATATCTTATATAAACTTGACCTAATTGACCCATATGCTTCCAATAAAATCAGTACTAATGCAGTCACCAGTCTTGACTTTCTGCCAGGATCCTGAGGGAGCTGACTGACATTTTTTCAGTTATTTTGATTCTGTTTCAAAGTTTTATTATCTTGTTGGGCAATATCCAGTAGTGCTGATGAGTCACCATCTCTGAATGGATTGAGCTAGCAGGAAAAAAGAATTCCTGTTTGTAGTCTCTGCTGACTTATTCCATTCTAAAAGCAGTGGTTTCAGGTAGTTTCTTGGACTGTGCCAGAAAATGCTACTCTTCTATTGTGGTTTCAGTCATTCCTGGTAGCACAGCAATTGCAGTGGACACTGTGCACTGTGCTATTGTTGTTTTTAAAGTCTTTAACAGAGGCAGTCAAGAGATATTTTAATCAATAAATCCAGTCTTTATTATCATGGATATTCTTTCATCCCTTTGGATTAAAAACTTGCATAAAATCATGTTAAATAAGGATGCTGTCCTACAAATGTTTAGGGAGAGAAAAATTCTACATTCCCAGCATGCCCCAGCTAGCCTGGCTGGGGCATGCTGGCAATAGTGGTACTTTTTTCTCTTTCAACATCCATGGGATTGTACCCTGAGTTGCAAAGGTGTACAAAAGTTGTGGTGGCTATAACGAGCATGTAATCTTGAACCAGCCTATCAGAAGAATCAGATTTGTTGGAGCTTGATCCTGGAAAATATTTTAATGGAAACCACAGAAAGTGAATTTCTAGAGCAGTCTTGCTATTCACATAATATATGTTTCTTTGAAGTCATAGTTAAGCATAACATAACATACTGGGTTAAGCATTATTATCTGGCATGCATTTGATTGCATTAGATATAATTATTTTGAAGATAAATTCTGTTTTTGAAGTTTTAATTTCTGCACAAAAGTATGTTTGCAGTTTACAGACTTTTGATACAAAAGCATTCACCTTTAAATAAATTACTTTTAGGTGTATCTTGGACAGCTGCATCTTGTGGGAAGAAAAGGACTGGAAAGAGATCATGCTGTAAATATACTCAAATAGCTCCCAGGGATAAACATTATGTTGTTAAAATTTTTCATTTAGAAGTGTTGTTGTTGTTGTTGTTTTCAATGTGATGCTTCCAACAAGCGTGTTTAAGATGAGAGACTAATGCTATGGTCTGGAAGGTTGGGAGTATATATTGTTTTGAGTATTTGCCCCCATCTTACATTTGTCTGGGTTAAAAAGCATTTTAGGAGGCTGGTGATGGAACTTTTCAGACTGATAAATATTGGCAACATGTGCCCAATTTCCTCTTTAAAATATCCATGAACCACATATATGGAGTGCTCTTTGACTGCAGACTGGATTTCTACAAGCTTGGAGGTTTCTAAAAAGCATTATCTTAGGGGAATAAAGGGGGCTAAACAAAAATGCCATTCCAGAACACAGTCTAAGATTTATACATTTTCAGCAAATGATACTACAAATTGGTTTGTACCTTATCCCATATCTTTAAAGCCCGTGTGGCATATGCCTTACGGTTTCTTGCAGGAAAAAGTCAGGTTATAAATATAGTAAAGCAATGATGACTTAATATAATGATCTTGTTTTAAAATGGACATACATTTGATACCTTCAAAGAATTCTAAAGGATTTAGCAAAGCACATCTTTTTGCAGAAACCACACTGATTGACCAAGATGCCAAAAACAAATAGATTAACCCAAACCTTTACACTTATTCAGCTGAATGTATGGAAAATTATTATCGTTCCTGAAAATAGACCATATTACAATCTGCTCCAAACTCCTCTGTTTCCAAATTTTTTATCCTACAGCACAGAATGTAGGATAAAAAGAATAGACAATGGGAAACCATTCAAAAACCAAAGGTCTAAATTATCCCTGGGCATTCAGGGCTAGGGTTCTTTGGACCCTGGTAATTATTTTAGTATGACATGCTGATTAAAGTTTTGTTGAACATGGGATACTTTCCACTTTTATGGCAACTGCTGCAGGCCACTCTGACAAACTAGATTCATGCCTGAAGTTGCGGAAGAGCATACTGTGAATGCCATAATACTCCTACTCATGCTCCAGAGGCAACTAATGGCCTTTTTGTCACAGATAAATCTATATATTTCAGTTATGTAACTTTTAGTGTGGCCATGCATCTTACCTTAGAGAATGGCAGTCCTCTGTTTGAAAGGCTATTCTGTTCAAATCCAATGTGAAGAACCATTAAGAGCAGCAGAGGGTCTGAAGTTGCCCCCCCATAGGCAGCACCTGGACAGTAGAGTAGGCAGGCATGTAGCTTACCTGGTTGCAGGCTTCTCTGTTATGGTGAGATCTATTGCATTTCTATGGTGGGAATGTCTAACTTTGCATCTGTGTATAGATTAGTATGTGTAAATGTTATATAAACAGATGTCCTTTTGTCCTTCATTTCATTTCATTTATTTTAGGCAATGAATCCCCCACCCTTTTTAGCCATATGCATCATGCTAGTCACATTATTCTATGTCTTTAAATAACATAAGGAGTCCCAAGATTCACCCATGGAAAGATTGAGTGGAATATAAATTTGTCATTCTGAATGACCATGCCCCAGTATATATGAGTCTATTTAATGAAAAATAGCTTCCAAGGCATGAAAATACCTGCTTTGATTACCAATAGTTACCAATACTTTTTAAAATCATATTGGAAAAATTATTATTTGCTTTAGCTGCATTTTAATATACGTGTTTTGTTATTGGTTTAATCATTTTTCATTATAGACATTTGCAAGTCTCTTTGAGTGGTGTTGTTTTTGTGTAAAGCAGGGGTACAGATCAATTGATCGATCAATTAAACACACACACACATATATAAAACATAACTTTCTTCTGCTATTTTTCTTTAGAAAGCCTTCTACTATTTCCTAAAGGCAGCATATGCTGGGAATGCAAATGGTATGGCTTTCCTTGGAAAGGTACTTATGTTCACTTTTTGAAATTCTTTTGATAGGGTGATCCTCTTCTATTCTGTGCCCTTCTGATGAACCATCACAAAAGCGGGGGAGTCAAGCTGCTATATACCAATATTTTCAACCACAAATATGGCTGACATTATTTGTGCTGTGGTCAAAGCAGGGGGAGAGGAGGAGGGATGGGTCAGTACCCTCCACGTAACCTTCAATTCCATATTTAAGGGTACGTGGAACCACACTACTTGCCTATCTAGAGATCATTGTAGCTTTCCACTGCGATCACACTGTATTTCCATAGAGGCATTGAATATCCTGCATCTCAGTATGCAAATCATAAGTTTGACTTGAACTTAAACATTTTTGAAATAGGAAACCCTCTCTCAAGAGACCTGAACACTTCTGATTACATTTCTTTTCCCCTCTAATCTCTGGTCTGAGTACCACAACAAGATGACTTTCTCTTGTTCTGGAACTACATAGAAGGTGGAGCTGGGGGTTGCAGGGTTAGGGAAAATCAGCTTTTAAAATTCCATCTTGAATGAGAGCATCCTGTGAGCAGAATCCCCATCCCAAATGGAAGGACTATTCCTTTGTGGAAAGGTAACTCAGAATCCAAGCTGATGTTCATGCAGATGCTATGTGTTCTCATATTGTTAATTTCTTCCATGTAATCATTTATGTAAGGGCATGGAATGCTGTGTGAACAAGACCATAAAACTAGCGAGTTAGCACGGTAGCCATGCCCATGCTTGCAGCTGCTAGGAAAAATGCACTGTCCTTTCATGCTAACTTTTCCCCATGTAGTCATATAACCACTTCCATGGATCTCATGCAGGACAGCATTGATTTGAACCAGCCCTATTGTCCACAGTGTTAGTTGATTATCAGTCATCATTATGTAAATCATGGTCATTTATATTTGAAAGATCTGGCTACATTAAACATTTGTCTTGAAACGTGTTACAGGGAATTAACTTTCAAGATGCTCCCTAATTTTCTGAAGTAGTCTATTGGTCCACAAACCTAAAAATAAAGTTATTGAATAACTCAGGCGTATTTGGCTGTTCTAAGCTGATATTTGACTGTTGAGAAAACAACAATCTTGAAGATTTATTTCTGCAGTTAGACTTTTAATATTCTAGTACTGCTACTTTGCTCTCAAACCTTATTATTGGTCTAATTAAAAAAGAGACTGAAAACAGGCCAAATCTAAATAATAAGAATTTTGTTCCCCTGCTGTTGGTATCCTTGGAGTTTTTCCTTTCTGAAGCAATAGCAGGATTGGTTAATCTGTGCTCCATGTTAAACTGACTATCCATAAGGAAATAGAAAGTGCAAGTGCAAAGTCAGCTAAGATTTAAAGGAACATTACAGTCTGCTTTTATGGTTACAAATGAGGGCATGTCTGCCTGTATTCACCATCACCTAAAGAATTACCTATTCTTTATACTTTTATCTAGATGTATTTGGAAGGGAGTACCATAGTGGCCCAAAGTAATGCCACGGCCCTGAAGTATTTCAAAATGGCAGCAGATAAGGTATTGTCTTTCCTTACTTGTATGTTACATGGATTAACAGTAATTGCTGTGCAAAATAGCTAGCTAATCTTGTGGAGTATTGACTTTTTAATATAGTTTGGTAAAAAAATGCGTATTAGGTCATTAGCCTCCACTAGTTTTTGATGACAAAAATATTAATGTGTACAAATATTTGAATATGTAATAGATTTGCAATTGATTTCATAGAAATAAATCAACTATATTTTATACTGTACATCTTAGAAGAAGCATGAGGAAAAATGCAATAAATAAATAAAAGTACACATCTCCAATCCTCAGCTTGCCTCTCAAACTATTCCTGCAACTACAGCTTGTGTGAGATTTTAATCTTAGCAAAGCAGAAAACTTTTCTTCTCTCACAGAAGATAGACTACAAATATTTTGACTGCATTGTTCCCCGAGCAAGCTGAATTTCCTGAATCAGCTCAGCCAATCACTGCTAGAGGTTTCACTGCAAATGCAATGCAAAATACATAAGTGTAGTTATGTAGTAAATACCAGGTCTAAAACACTCAAAGTTACATTTTAAAGAAAGACTGGTGTCTCCAATATTTTGGGAAAGTGGTGCTCCATGACAGCTTCCCCACATCAAAAATTAACTTGAGAATCAAGTTCTGGATATATTTGGAATGTCATGTGTCAAAGTATATTTTGTCTCCATTCCTCTCCTGCTGCCATTTTGCCTGTACGTTTAGACTGTCGGCATTTAGCATCTGCCTTTTCACTTTAATCTATTCATGTATCATATGCATTGGTACTATGCAAGAGGTGGCTAACTTGTTCAGCAGTAAAACCTGTATCAAAAAGGTAAAAAGAAATGAAGGGACACATGTAATTGTTACAGATGAGCCTTAAAACGAAATGAATGCTTGCACACAACTTCCATGACTCTTGCGGGCATCTAATTACAATCAGACATTGCATTTATCCTTAAAATACATATGCATATGCAGTACATTATTTTTTTTCATAGTCATAGAACCAGTGTAGTGTAGTGGTTATTGTTGGCCTGGGACATGGGAGACCTGGGGTCTAGCTCCACTCAGCCATGAAGCTCCCTGGGTAAATCTGGGCCTAACTTCACAGGATCATTGTGAGGATAAAATGGGGAGAAAGAGGGCCAGAACCTGCCTTCAGTTCTTTGCAGGAGGGAAAAAGTGGGATAGAAGTAACAAAATGCTTAGTGAACAAACAAATCTTAGGCAGATGTTTAAAATGCGAAGTTATTGGTGTCTGCTTAATGTGAATGTGAGGGGAGTTCCAGAGGATGGAAGCTGCAACATTAAACACTTTGTTCTTGGTAACCATAAGATGAATCTTCAGATCTTGCAGCACTACCAAGGGGGTCCCTCCTGGGAACTGCAATGACTGGGAAAGGTTTAGAGGGTCAGATGATACTTGAGGTACCGGGTCTCAAGTTGCTTAGGGCTTTATATACCCATACTAAACTTGGCCCAGTAGCATATTGGCAGGCAGTGCAGTTCTTTCAGCAGTGATGTTCCCTGCTGTTGCATAAATGCTTCAGCTAACAGACTTCCAGCTGCATTTTGTGCCAGCTGCACTAGGACCATCTGGATGCTACCAGTGCTTGGACTACCATGGAAAAACTATCCTGGTCCAAGAATGGCTGAAGCAGTCATATCAGCCACAGCTAGTGGAGGGCACTCATAGCTATTGAGGACACCTGGGCTTCAAGTGACAAACATAGATCCAAAAGTACTTCTAAGCTATGCATGCCTTTCAGCAGAGGGAGCACAGCACTCTCCAGAACAGGCAACTTGGTCTATATCCCGGACCCAGTAATCGCTCACCTATGGAGCTTCTATCTTGCCAGAACTCAAGCTTAGTGTTTTGCTTCACATCCAGTTCCCTAATGCATCTGGCACTGACCCAGAGCTCACATGGCTACATCAAATTTAGATACGGCTGGGTAACATCATTATACTGATAACTCTTTGCTCCAAAAATTTTAATGATTGTTTCCAGCAGCTTTGTATAGTTGTTACAGCATGGGAGACAAAAGGGTGCCCTGCGTCCCCATAGCATAAAAATATGCTACTCTTTATGGACTCTCTCAAGCACAGTGTCACTTATACCCCTCACACAGAACCAGTCTAGGTGTATCCTATGCTCAATGGCATCAGAGAGATCAACACAAGAAGCAAGGCTGCACTCCCCTTATTCAGCTGAAGGTCATCCCATCAGGGTGATCAAGCTTGATTTGGTTCCAAAATCAGGTGTGAATCCAAACTGAAATAGGTCTAAATAATATGAACCATGTCTGCTATGGTGGGTTTTGGAAAGCAATTTTCCCCTCTGAGCAATAAAACAGAAGAATGATAAATACAGAAAACACCAGTAACACTAAGTAGCACACAGTGACTCCATGTGATCTTTCATTTAGTCAGTTCTGATATGTCTAAATGAAACATTCTCTATACCTTATTTAGGGCAATCCTGTTGGACTGTGGGGACTGGGTCTTCTTTATTTTCACGGCAGAGGTGTCCCACTGGTAAGCCTTCATTTTGTCAGACCTATTTTATACTCTTATAAAATAATTTTTAAAAAGCTTAGTATAATGTGACTTAACGCCACTGTCTTCTGACAGTGCTACAGCAACTACTTCTGAGCATGGTCCAATGAGATATCAATATTCCACAAAACCAGAAACTAATTTATTGACATATCTGTTTTTAATCAAAATAAGATTTATTTTCCAGAATTACACTGAAGCTTTTACATACTTTCAAAAAGCAGCTGAGAAAGGATTTGCCAATGCTCAATTCCAACTGGGAGTCATGTATCATAGTAAGTTCTAGTTATGGTTTTTCCTTCCCTTCCCGAATTCACCATTCAGTTATGTAGTTCAATAAAAATTCAAAGACTCCAAATTAAACTTTATTTGCAGCTGGCTCAGGAGTAAAGAAAGATTTTAAGCTTGCATTCCAGTATTTTTACTTGGCATCTCAAAATGGACAACCGCTGGCTATTTATTATTTGGCTCAAATGTATGCCACAGGAACTGGTGTGCTTAGATCATGCCAAAATGCAGTTGAAGTAAGTAATACCTTGTTTGAAAGCTTGTGCTTAGAGTGAATAGTTTGTCTCATATACTGTTCAGGATCTGCTGTTAATGTTAGAAAAAACAAAAACAGCAACCACACATAAACACACTATCAGATCAGTAGAATTACTCCAATTTCAGATTCGTACACAGGTTTCATATAGCCATGGGAGGAAAGTGCTTCTCATTAGTGAACAATTGCTGATTTTTTTCTAGCTGCACTGTAGCATACTCTACTGAATTCTGCTTTGGAAGGTCTCCCAACTTTCAGAATCAATATTGTGAAGGACCCAAAGAGTTACAGTGAGAAGCTGAACAGGAAGAGCATTTGCTGTGAAAAAGCAGTCTTCATGTAACCCTTTACTTCCTGATTAGTGATATCAACTTTAGTTCGTATAATTTTTCTGCACTACAATCCTATACACGTCAGATGTCAGTTCCATTAGGTGACATTCAGCATCACCTGTTTTCATAATGAGACACCCTATTCCCCTGGAGTCCCGTACACCCCCAGAAATCTTCTCCAGAGGGTCCCTCAACTTCCTGTAGCAGATGTGGGAGGTGGGGGGAGGTCACAGGAACAGCACAGGGGAAGCAGAAGCTATGGATGCTGTTCCACTCGCAGACTCACTTGATTTTTACTCCGCTTAAATGGATCTTGCTCTCAGGTTGTATATGACTGCAGCCTTAAGCATTCTGAGGAAGTCCTTAACTCCATTCTCTTGATTTCCTTAGACCTGCAAAAAAAAGGGGGGGATTCCTTCTACATGGGTCACAAACAAGTCAAAGATGTTACTATTTGGGGGAATTCACCCCATTTTGTATGCAGTTTTCTAATATTTTGCCAGTGTTCATGGATTATTGCATATTTTCTTGGCATCTTGAGTAATACATTTGTCTTTAATGTTAAGGAATACTTTGCAGACTGTTACCATATAGGTCACAATGCAAGCAAAGTTAAACCGTGACAAAGTACACTGATTACAAAGCTGAAGTAATTTAAGAACACATGGCTCATTTTCCTATTGAAATAACAGGAGCACTTCCCAGTGAGGCTTTCATGCTGCAGTTGCCCTGCCTCACAGAATATTACCTCATTCTTCAGACATTGTTTTGATCCATTTGTAACTCTGCTGTTTTCCCAACTGCTTCTTCTGAAATTTGTATTTCCTCTTAAAGAAGATGTGCAGAATGCCTTTGATTGGTAATGCTAGGAGTGCCCTGTTGGGAAGCATCTCGGAAATTCGGAATGTTTCTGTGGTCATCCAGCACAATTCTGTGCATGTTTATTCAGAAGTAAATCCTACTATCATCAATAGGGTTTGATGTCCCAGGTTACTGCACATGTGACTGAAGCCTTGAACTTTGTGCCCATTTTTTCTCCAATGATGAAAAACTGTCACTGACTGTAACTATTCTTTTAAATAATCAAGGGATCTTTCTTAAAACAGTTAGAACACACTCTGTAAAACACTGCCATAAAATGTGTTTCCTTTACATTTTTATTAAGCACTTGCTCTTCCTCCTTTCTATAGTCTATAGTTTTGCATGCCTTTTAAACCACCAAAGTCTAATTGGTCCTAGATTTCCTATATACTATAGATAGGTTCATTTCTTCTTTCACTTTTACATTTTGATTCAAGCATGTTGCCAGTTGAGTTGCCTTTTCCTCATAGCTGCTTTTTAAAATATGTATGTATATGCATTTCATAATTTTTTCATAGCCATAGAGCCAGTGTGGCATGGTGATTAGAGTGTAGAACAGGGACTTGGGAGATCTGGGTTCTAGTCTCCACTCAACTTGGGAAAAGGATGGGCAAGAAATAAATCATTTATAGGTTTGTTTTGAAGATTATGTATAGTATCTGTCTGCCACCTGAGCTCCTTGGAAGATGACCTAAAATTAATATGACAAGCAAATATTCATTCTTCGCCAAATAAGGTACTGGGATTGAAATACTTCTGATGTTCTTTGCCTGTGTTTAATGCTTGTCCTTTTGCTGCTTAGCTTTACAGAACTGTTTGTGAGCTAGGAAGATGGTCGGAAAAATTCCTGACAGCATACTTTGCTTACCAGGCTGGTAATATCGATGCATCTCTTATCCAGTATGCCTTTCTAGCTGAAATGGGCTATGAGGTAGCTCAGAGCAATTCAGCCTTCATCATGGAATCTGGTGAGGAAAACATTCTGTTATGTTGCTAGTTGAATTCTTCAGCATAGTGATTGTATTAAGACAAGTGATCCCACTGTCTTGTTACAGAAAAGGTTAAACTTCTCCGTAAAGATCAGATTTATCCACTGGCTCTTCTTTTATGGCAACGGGCTGCAAGTCAAGGTATGAACAGAGTCAAAAACCACTTATATCCAGCAATCTGCTCATATTAATAAGAGGAGTTCCTAATTTCTGCTCTTGTAGTTGAATAGTAAGAAAATATTATGTTCAGCATTCTGTAAAAGTCATTACAAAATCATGGATGCAGACCATTTAGAAAATATTTACCTTTCTCCATTTAGGTCATAATGAAGATGGCATACCCATGGGTATTGCTTTATAGACATGTATTGAATTTTTATTTTCTAATGCATTAACTATGCACCAATCTTTTACTCTGTTTCTGTTAGCTGTTACTCTTGTTTCATTAATCCCTGTGCACAATTAGAGAACTTTAACCTTCAAATGAAGTCTGAGAGAGAAAACGATGCCCATTCATCTTAATTTCCAGTTAATCACATTTCTTTTACCAACTGCTATTTATTTTTGGTACTTATAAAGAATTGAATGGCTTAAATAGTTTTACTGTATTGCTAGTTCATAATAAGCCAGCTATTTTGTCAGAGAGAAGTGGTGAGATGATAGGGAAAATACCACCTCCTGTTTGTTAGAGCTAATTATTTGTTCAGTTCTTTGACATGCTTATCATGTATCTTGGTGAGGTTGAGAGCACAGAAATAAACTCACTGAACAGTAAAGACTTAGCTACCATGAACCTTTAATACCCACTCAGGCAAAGCAAGGAACTGTGCCTTGTCTCCCATGCCCTGAAGGTGACTGAATTCTATAGATGTCAAGCCCAAGTGTACTCTCAACCCAAGTGTACTCTCAACTTGCCAGTCTCTTAAGGTTAATTTATTCAAACCTATCCTGACTCACACAAGGATTTCAGCATTTCTTTGTACTTGCTTTTGTTCCAGTTTATCCCAGCTATTTTTCCTATAGTGGAAAGTGAGATTCAACAATAGGATAGCACTGCTAAACAAATCTGAACAATGCTGGGAAGCAACAATGCAAGAGTGCAACAGGATGCTGGGCCAGATAGGCCTTGGTCTGGACCAGCACAGCTCTTTTGTTAAACATTAGACCCTAAAAAGTGCTGTGCTGGTGGGATCCCTGTTGAGAGTCACAGAGCTATGGAAGTATCAAGAATATTTTGTGGTCATCTTTGGAGGATTTTTTCCAATGTGTGTCTCCTCATCCCCAGCCAACTGAAGTTAATTAAATGGTGACTGGAGAGTGCCTTCCCAGTGAGGCTTTTTATCTATAAGTTGGTTGTAGGTTCCACTGAATGTTACAGGTTATTTTCACGTCCTGGGTTTTGCTGTTTAATCTACTTGCCATCAGCTTCAACTGTTGGGTAATTTAGAAATATTAATAATTTTTGCCATGGGAATCTGGTTAGTCACAAAAAAAGACTAACTTACCCAAGAAACCAAGTACAAGATAGAGGTTAGGTCTAAGCCCCAATTTCCCAGAAGACAAAATTGTGATCCTTAGAGGAATGCCTGATAATGCTTCACAAACACAGCCATGGAACATCCCACCCCACACAAAATTAAACACACCTAAGCAGCACACGGCCACCCACCCCCCAATAAAACAAGAGTACTTTCCCAACCTCCCAGCACAGTTATCTTGCCAACATCTCAGATAGTTCCTCTTACCTGTGTAAACCTACAAGGAAGTGGTGTGGCTCATTCTCTTTTCTTTTTATAGCGGTTTGGTTTGATTTCCTGAAAACAAAAGCACCAGCCCAACTTGCCCCACCATCTTCCATTCCTTTTCTAAGAACATCTCTGAGCCCCATGTGGCATTTTAGGGGAAGGAAAGATGGCTGATGCTTGAAAGTGGAACTTGGAAAGCGGAATGAGGCAAAAAGCTTGGGGGATAATCAAGTTCGCTTGGGGGACACCAACAGATGTGGGACTTCAGCAGTAAGCAAATACTAGTGCTGAAGCTCACTTGTCATGTGTTCTCTCAGGGCCAGTGTGGTGTAGTGCTAAACAGCATGCAAATGGGTCCAAGCCCCCACTCCGCCAAGGAGCTCATTGGGTCACTTTGGGCCAGTCACAGACTCTCAGCCCAACCTACCTCACAGGGTGGTTGTTGTGGGGATAAGACTGAGAAGAGGAGAATTATGTAAGCTGCCTTGAATTCCTTGGAAGGGAAAAAAGGTAGGATATAAATACAATAAATAAATGGCTATGTTTTGATGATGATGATGATGATGATGATGATGATGAAAAGTTCCTTGTCTAGTGCTTTGGGATGATAAGTGCAGGATATTTAAAAGACAAGAAAACATACCTTTCCTAAATATTGGTCTTCCAGGCAATGCATTTGCCAGAGTTAAAACTGGAGATTATCACTTCTATGGCTTTGGAACAAAGAGAGATTATGTTACAGCAGCCATTCATTACAACCTTGCTGCTAGTCAACAGAGTGCGCAAGCAATGTTTAATCTGGCATATATGTATGAATACGGCTTAGGCATTCCCCAGGTAATGTAATTCACATCTAGTGCTGCTTCAGGCATTACAGCTGAAATAAAATGTTTGTTTTTAATTGTAGCTATATTTAAGGAATGGAAAAGGGCAAACAGATTTTTCATTTGGGTAGGATTTGACCAAACCAAAATCAAGCAAGCTATTTTGTAATTGCTCATTATGTTAAGGAAAGCAAAGACACTGAGGCACCATATCCCACTTTATGTGATGGTCATAAGCCCCCAGACTCAGAGGCTCATGGGCATTCTGTGCCGAGTGGAAGCAGGAGCAGAGCAACCTTTATCTCCCTGTCTTTCCACTCTGTATTTTCTTCTAGATGGCATTATTGTCCCATCTACTTGGAGTATCTTGGATGGGGAGAAGAGGCTGGGGTGGCTGCAGATGAGCTCCTCCCCTGGCCTCTCCAACCTGCTATCCTTACCACCCTGCAAACTTGCTTCCACCCTCTCCAAGTTTACTCTCCTGACCTTGGTCTGTGTGGTGCTTTCCATAGCAGCTGTGAGGGGACAAAGGAGTGGGACTGGAGCACCATTTCTGACCTCAGATCTGGGAATCCAAACTATCCTGTGGCCCCTCAGATGCTGTCTTGGGATCATAGGTCTGTTCCCTGAATTTATCTGTGACCTCAGTAACAGGATAAAAATTGAATAACAAGGGCACTTCAGCAACATCTCAAGTCTAAGAACTGAGTGGATCTTGAGATGTGTTACTAAAGTTGTTGGAATGTACATTAGTCTTATGTTGACATGGAGAACCAAGAGTGCACAAACAGTAAGATATTACCCAATCACTTAGATCCACCCCACCTTCTCAACATGTCAGTGGAAAGTGCTACTGCACTTGCAGGGGACTACATTTCCTTCCAGAAGGCAACCCTTTTCTATTTTTAACCCTGAGGATGTGAAGGAATGCCATAGAGGAGGGTGCCGAAAAGCACTCTGGCAAAAGGGATACACAAACTGCGGTACTTTTGGGGGGGGGGGTATATAAAATGGTCTATAAACTACTTTGGGGGAAATTGCCATTCTTTTTATGACTACAATCCTGGGCCAGCTGATGCTAATAAAACCTGACTTGGATTATATCCAGCATGTCTACCCCCAAGTGGAATGAAATAGTGCTAGCAGAATGGTTTCCTTAACTTCAGCGCCCCACCATATACGTCAAATCTTTTTCAGAGTACTGGAGACTCATTTCAGCAGATGGGTGTGTGTGCAAGGATGAGTAGATGAACAGGAAATCCTGTTGCATGAGCAGAAGGTCATTTTCCTAACATTGGATGCAGACCTTCTGAAGTATGCTAGGTATAGATACTAGCAAGAATTCTGGATCAGCCAGAAAATTTTTTATACTTTGCTTGTCTCTTCCAATATAAGTCAAGATGATTATAATAATATTGCCATGACAGTGCCTAGCATGTCCTGTACAATTATACTCAGAAGTAAGCGCTACTGAATTCAGTGGGAATTATTTCCAAGTAAATGTGTATAGGATTGAAAGTTGATTCTCAGATATGTTAATAGAGCCATCTGTAAATGTTGGAAATTTACTAGTTGTGAGCTTCACAGAAAGCCCTGAAATGGGCTATTGTAGCAGCATGCAAATTGAAATAAATAAATAAATAAATTTCTGCTCTTAGGATATACATTTAGCTAGAAGATGGTATGGCATGGCAGCTGAAACAAACCCAGAGGCTTTTATACCAGTGGCCCTCGCATATATAAGACTTGAAGTGATGTGTGTGCTCACTGATCTGCAGCTTCTCAATGTAAGTGTTTTTTACACAAACTTAATGTAAATCTGTTGCAATTTTAAGCCAAGGCTTCCAGTCTTGTTTATATTCTCTGTCCTCCCTGTGGTTGCTTCAGAGGGCAAAGGAAGCTCAATAGATGCAACAGAAGACAGAGCTCCTGTGCTTTGAATAATTGTATAGAAGAGGGGACTGTCCTGAGACCATTTGGTAGTGGACAGTATACAAAAGTTTTAAATAAATAAATAAATTCCAGCATTTGTTGATTGCATAAGAAGCACTTGGTGAAAGTTCCTGTTAAAAGGTTGTTATTAAAGGTTCAGGAATCTTGATCAACCAGAGGGCTTAGCCTTGTTTTGATTATCTGGTGGAGAGCTGGATCCTCTTTGTATGAAAGAAGGGAACTGTTGCTAGCCCTAACATGAGAATTTGTTTCCCTCCTTTGACAGTATAATGTTACCCTTTGTCACTGGAACTGATTTCGGGTAAGGAACAGAAGTTTGTTTTGAGGCCCCAATATTTCCTATATGAATAACAAGATCTGGACATTGGTAAACAGCATCTTCAATCTTGTCCTCTTCCTCCAGCTTGGAGTGCCTAATGATTGGAGATGGTTGATTCCATCTTTTCTGAGAGCAACAGCAGTCTCTGTAGGTTCAGAAAAATTAATGGGGAAAGGAACTCTTAGGGCCTCTGAGTGAGAGAAGACCCCCCTACATAAAAGAGAGCGGAGGGGTTTGGGTGGAAGGGTTAGGATAGTCTTCTCTGTGCTTAACTTGAGATCATAGTGGAAGATATGTTAGGATGCAATCCTGTGCATATCCAATCAGAAGTAAATCCCCATGTGAATCCCCTACTAGCCAGGTAAGAAATAATGTGCTAGACAAGAGAGAGATCTGGCATAGAAAGTAGGCTTCCATGCCGTCAATAAACCTTTGCAGGAGTTGCAAGCAATGAGTAGCTAAAGAGAAAAAGAAAGTGAAAAGTTTTATATGAAGGGTGCCTATCATGCATAGCATACAAGACACACATGTAAAGGTTTCGTGTTTCTTTCTCTTCAATAGCTAACTGGAAACTGGAAACTCTCAGCAATCAACAGCAAGCTAAGGCTGCACTTGGGTCTCTTTGTGATTATATTAATTGTTGCTTTGCTTATACTGTTAATAAACAGTAGGCAAAACTGAATTGTATTCAAAATGCTTTTCACTGAAATCGAAAGCTACCTGATGCAAAAATACACTAGTTGTGCTTGTATATAGGAGGTTGAAATTTTACCTTCAGGAGTGTAGCAACTTGGGTAGTACCTAGTGAACTGCATGAAAAAGACTAGATACATTGGCTGATAGGAACAGAAGACTGCCTAAAATGAGTTAGCTCTTTGCACCAATCATGCCTGGAAAACTGCCTTTTCGAACATCAGTAAACACACACACACACTTTTTACACTTCAACTTTTGTCTCCGAGTCAAATATTTTAATGGACTGTTCATAGAAGGAATGAAAATCCCATCTATCCTTTGAAAACTTCTAAGGTTTTTCCCGGTCTGTAAAAGTAAATTCATTATGGACATAGTTTATTAAGGGAATTCTGCCAGCACACCAACCTGCATGTTTAGAGAGAACTGCAATGACTAAAGGCAGAGTTTGTGTTTCAAGTTAAGTCTTAGTCATGCTGATTTTTGAGAGGGCTATTTATCTTACTTTACAAAGGGTGTAAATATTGAAACACTTCAGCATTTATAGGACAGTAGGACTCATGGTAAAGAATATCCCTCAGGATGTATAGGCTCTGGGCTTGACATACATCTCAGTTCCCCTTGATGATTTACTTCTTCCAGAAGGGTTGCTGCTGGTGTGCCTAAATCAATTCCAATGTTAAATAAAGGGTGGATGGATGGTCTTTTGGTTTGTAAATATATATAGGGTGGCAAAATGCAAAAAGAAAAAAGAAAAAAAAGAAAAAAGGATAGGGCTCCTTACCTTTCAACAGTTGTGTAAAAGGTGGGATTTCAGCAGGTGTAGCTTGTCATACATGCTTCATATACTGCAATTTCCTCCCGCACAATGAAGGTGCAGGAACCGTGTCCTTTTTTGCATTTGTCCACACTGGGCCAGATGCAGAAGTAGCTATACCAGCTGAAATAAACTTTTCCATGCAGCTATTAATGATGCACAATTCCTTTCTTCTTTTATATCTCGACAAAGCAACCCTGATAGTCATTGTGGAACTTCTTTGGAACCCTACGCCATGCCTCAGTCTCAAGCTGAGGGAATTATGTGAGGTAAAAATCAAACATAAAACAGTGCTGAGCAGACTTCAAACTTACCTTTCTATTGGAACTTTTAAGATCCACCAATTAGAGCTTTGTGCAAAATTCATGCATTTGGGATTAATAAATTTTGAGCAGGGAATCTGTTTTGAGTAGGAGAACTGAAGGCAACTCATACTTCTTCCACATAAAATTCAGCATTGGTTACTTTAAGCTCGCTGCATTTCAGTTGTACGTCATAGCGAGGGTGAGAGTCATTTTACTGCTGTTGCAATATAACTGGGTATCCTATCCTTGCAGGTCTACTGCAGATCACTTAGTGATCTGCAAGTGGATCCACACTAAAGGGACAAGGAAAGCAACTAAAACACAAAGCCTTAAAGTACTTACAGCTGAAACACAAAACATTTCAGGGAAGGAAGGAAGCCATTGGAGCAAGTTTCTCAGCAGAGCTCATACAAGTCTCCTCATCTCTCTCTCTGCTGCAGTATATTAACATAATTGTACGCAGGGAGGTGGGTGTGCTGCAATTCCACCATTGTACACTGCTAAAGCATGGAAAATGGTACTGAATATGGAATTCAGCTTCCTGAGCAGGTCAGCACTCTTTTTTTATCTGCTTTTTAGTGAAACCATTTCTAACAGGATTGAAAATGGATGCTGAAATTGTGTAGGCAATGCATGCAAAATTTCTGAAGCCAAGGAGTAGCATTCCCTGTGCTGAGACATAGCCCCTCCCCACTCCACACAACCAGTTGAATTACGCTCAATCTGCATAATTTATATAGGTCACAATCACAGCACAGTTTAGCAGAATATGTACAGTTCTGTTTAGTATGGACTACAAGCTTTCCACTGATATGAAGTATTTGCAGGCTGGGATTAAATTTGTTCTTAGCTGCTTAGAGTTGTTCTAGTACATTTTTCTCATTCATTTCTAGAAAGTGTATGACTATTTTTTTTGTCTTTAGGACAAAATGATACCTTTTCTGTATATCACTATTACTTCATCAAAAGTATAAGGCTGGAGGAGAGGCAGTGTAATATAGCAGATTTGTCTGCATGAGTCACCAAGAACTTGATTCCAACTTGAATATGGAAACACATGAGGTGACCTTGGGCCAGGCTGCCCAATAAAGGAATAGGAAGAGAAACCAAGCCTGCTATGTTAAGGACAGGATAATAGCTATGCATTCCACTAATCGAACTAAATAATCATCTTTTCATAAGGCTGCTTTACTAAATTTATCTTCTCTTCCTATGTTAAGAAGGGTCAAGGTCTTCCACAGGTAAATGCTTCTGATTTATGTACAGTTACAGTTCTTTCCAGTTCAGCTCTTCCATGATCTCCTGCTCACAGATTGTTCAATGAACTGGAACTTCACCAAAGCAATGGGGGAACACAGGTCTATGTAAATCATGGAACTGAGTAAGAAAAACAGGTTAGGATGATCAAAAAGTCCAAATGATTTAAAAGCTGTTAATACCGAAAGCTAGAGCACTACCATTTAGAAGTGGCTAATGGCTCAAATGATTTATGCCCTCACCTCCCACGTTCCAAGTTCTTTGCCTAACTAATACGGTAGGGAAATCACAAATACAGAATGACACAGCTTAAGGACAAATTCACACACTTGTTTTTGCCTAGATACCAACAAGCCTTATCAGTGATCCTAGGCTCAGGGAAAGAAATGGAAATACGTTTGAAAATGATTTCAGCCCCTATAATTTTGGTGGCTGGAGAACTGCTGGCATGAGCTGCTATAAGCTGTCTCTGTGGTACAGCTTGGTCCCACCTCCACTGCTCTATCTTGCCATGGAAATGGGCAGGGCTGGAGACACGTCATGAGCGCTCCCATGTAGGAGGGAGTATGAATGTGTTAGTACAGATGCAAACAAGATGGCCAGCCAGAGCCATTTGTTTTGCTCCCTCAAATAACAAAAGGGAACCTTCTCTTGAGCAGTGTAAATTTTCTCCCAAATGTCTCCTGTCTTTCTCCATGTTTTTAGTTCCTAGCAAGCTATCTGTCACCTAATGCAACTGAGCTTGTGTAGTTGATGTTTAGCATTATGCTTGCAAAGGGTGGTCCAAATTTTAACCCAGAAATCAATAAATTACCTTGTTATCAACTATTTTTGTTTAAAAATATGGCACTGAGATTTCAATTAGGTTATGCTATTCTAAAGCACTGCTTCGCAGTATCTAGCCCCTCCCTTTCAAACCATTCGCTGTTTGTATTATCTCACTGGAAAATCCTGGACCATAACAAAGTAGTGTTTCCACAGTGCAACAAGTCCCTTCCTTGTGGTTCATTTAAAAAAAACTATGTAGACCTCTCATATTCTCACATTTTGAAAATTAAACTACACACAATACTATAATTTATTTGATTTTACACAATGAAAAAATTGCAACTCTATACCACGACCATTTATATACATGAGTCACAACAGTCAAATAATAAACAGTCTTTTTTCTAGGCACTGAGGTAAGAATGCTGGGAAACATAGTGCCACATGCCCTTCAACTTTAAGTGGTCAACTGAGGAACATCTGCAGTGCTGAGTCCAGTATATCTGTCATAGTTACACCACGTGTTAATTTTTTTTGCTTCCTGGAATAAATTCATTTATTTTTCTCAAATCTCCAAATGACACAGTTGCAGAACCTCTCTGTGCTGGTCTTGCCTGAAAATAAGGTGGAAGACATTTTATGTACACAAAGCAACTATTTAATCAAGTTAAATAAAAACAGAGATGAAGGAATACTACTGAAAAAGCAATATATGCAGCATGCTTGTTCAGACATCCATGTATCACAGAGGAGGCTGCACATTACCTGTGATTCGTGGAATTTCCAACCTATCATGTAATAGATCTGATATGTTGCAGGTACAGTACCATCGCTGTTTCCATACATTTCTGTGGAAGAAACATACATATTTTACAAAATACTGAAGAGCTACAACAGAAACAAATGGCATCCCTTATAAAATTCTTGCCTCAGATCCACGAGAAAAACATCCGAGATGGATGGTTGAACTTGAAGTCCTGCACTGGGCAGGGGTTGGATCTGATGGCCCCTTCCAACTCTACTCTTCTACGAGACGCTCTAAGGCAGCCCTGCCAAACCCCTCCAGTATCACTATCTTGCTGCAGCCTTCATGCCCCCCACCATGCCATTCTGAAGACTTCAACAAGTCTTGAGGGGGCCCTGCATGCCCCTGCATGCATGAATCTGAACATGCAAGACCAATTCTGGCCCGCTTACATTGTCTGCCATTATGTTTCTAAGCTCGCTTTAAGATGTTGGTTCTAACCTGGACAGTTTTACAGGGCTCGGAACTGCAACACCTGATGGAACGCCTCTTCAAAATTGCAATATATCTGCACGATGCAATCTATATCCGAGGCCTTCCTCCAACAAGGAGGACCTTTTCAGTGGTGTCCCTTCAAGGAATAATCTCCTCACTGAGGTCTGCCAGTTGCCAACCTGATCATCTTTTTGGTGCCAGGTTAAAACTGCTCTCTACTTCCAGGCATTTAATGGCATATAGTAGGATGCCAGTTGTTTTTAACAGCTCTAATTTTTATTGGAATTGTTTTAGCTGTTTAAACTGCTTTAGATTTTGTGCACTGAAATTTTATACAGTTTTTATTGTACAATTTTCCTTAATTGTATTGACACTTATGCAATGAGGTGAACTGCCCAGAGAACTTTGGCTATTGTTCAGTATAAAAGAAGTCAATTTAGATCGGGGTCCTCAAACTTTTTCAACAGGGGGCCAGTTGAAAGGCGGTGGCAGCGGGCATGGGCCGGTGAGGTGGGGGTGACTGCAGGCATGCGTGTGCATGGTGAGGCAGGCAGCGGCAGGCACAGGTGCGGGGAGTCCAAAACCTCTGAGGCAGGCCAGATAACTGGGCATGGTGGGCTGAATCTGGCCTACGGGCTGTAGCTTGAGGACCCATGATTTAGATGAAGATGATGGTGGTGGTGGAACTTGCAATTTGCCATTTCCATCTTAGAACCTTTATTTGCTTAGCAATTCCCTGGCTAAGGTGATGGTGTATAACCTGCTCCCCCTTATAGCAGAAGAGGATGCAGATAGCAACCATCTCACTGAGTTTCTGCTACATACTACAGGAAGAAGCTGGGGGTGGGGGTTCCACTCTTTACTGCCATTCAATCCAGTAGATCACACACCACCACTGGAATGCTGCTTCACTACAGTGGGAAGGAGAAGGTAATGGAAGAAAATACTATGTGGTTGGTATCCAGTCCTAGAAGACTTATTTAAAAGGCTGTTTGATTCTATCCATTCAAAATCAATGACAACTTAAAAGTCCCACTGTTAGTGAAATTCTGACAAACTAGCATCTCACCACTGAAGGCACTCCCATGAGCAAGTCAAAACATGCCAGGTGGAATTGCAAGCTCACCCCTGTATACCGCCGCCGCCGCCAACATTGTTGCTCTGTGTAACATAGGCTTTCTGGTCCAAGAGCAATTACTTTCTCCCATACCTAAAAATAGTTTTCAGGCTTTAAAAGAAGATACAGCATACACCATGAGTTCCACTTTGTGTGTATTTTCATGCAGTACAGCAGCATGGGACAGAATCAAAGTAGCAGCATCTCGGAACAACTAAAGCCAACCCAAAATATCACATGTGGTCTGATCCTATACATGCTTACTGAGAAGTTAGGTTCATCTGCATTCAATGAGACTTTCACCCAGATAAGTATGCATACAATTGTAACCTTAGTAAACAATGTCTACAGCTACAAAACAGTATACCTTAGGATTGTAATGCTAAGCCAACAACAGAACCAGCAGATTATCTGGTAAATACCTTAGAGTGTCTTCCAAACATTTGCTGGAGAAACTTTCCAATTAATGTTCTTCTACCAATACAATCCTTTACATGTCTGCTGAGAAATAAACTCCACTAAGTTCAACAGGACTTATTCCAAGGTAAGCATGTATAGGATGCAGCCTAAATTTCTGTTTTGGTGTACAGTTTAATCAAGGATTATTCAAAACCTCATTTCTGCCCTTTGACAACAACCCGCCTGCAGCAGCTGTCAGAGCAACTGTCTGAATTCTTTACATTAAGGCAAGAACAGAAATGGCCATTCAGCTTGATCTAAAATTAGACTGGAGTTTCACAATTCAGCAGAGGTGGCATGTTGCTTACTCAAGATATATACAGCTAGTCACAATTATTAAATTGGTTTTCTGTCTGTCTATGAAGGCAAGCATAGAGTATTTGCTTGCAAATAACCCATGTCAGCCTAAATGGTACCCCAGACATTCTCCTTTGGCAAAGCTCTAGAATACACCTATAAGGGTACACATTGCTATGGTTTAGTCAGTCAGAATGCCTCTCTGAAAGGAACTGAAACGCAGATGATATATAAATATAATGTACAGAATACTATTTTGTCCATATTGACAGGACATAATAAGCATGTGAGCATTAAGAAACTACCATCCATAGATACTTAAATGTATGTCATTTCTATATTACAATGATATACTTTGTATTAATTCCTCCAATGCAGAGATAATTCATAAAACTGAATTAATACCCATCAATAACATTTCACAATTTTGACATTCTGTAATAAATGGATGTTAATTTGACACTTATTCAGCAAAGTTTACTGTTCCTTGTACTTCATTATCTGAAAGCCATTCATTCATTCAATTTATATGCCACTCCACTAGCCATAGGCTCTCTGGGCAGCTTACAACGTAAATAAAGATGAAGTTGATTTACCTTGCAGATCATCCATAATTTCAAACATCCCAGGATAGTTAACTTGGATTTCATCTGCATCCTAAGGATAGTAAGATTTGGGGTTTTTAAAACATCCCAACTAGCAATGGGGCAACAGTGATACATTAACCAAGCTAAACCTGATTGTTGCCTACTGCCTAGACCTCACTGCACACCAATGCTGTACTTGTGTCACACAACTTTCAAGAATGTGTACATACTTGGAGGAAGTATCTGTCAGTAGTAAGCTGACAGTGCAGAACAAGGGAAGAGAACAGGGCAGAAAAGCATATGTCAAATGAACCACCAGAAAACTGTACTGTTTAAAGGAAGAGAAAGGTTAAGCAGGATAGCTGATGACTAGAAACCGAACTGGGAAGAGGGCTGAGAGAGTGAGTATCTGGAGGAAGAGGAGGATGTGGAGGAGGGTGAACAAGGGAAACTAAGTGGAGAAGCCAGTAGCCTATAGGAAAGAAAGACCAAGGAGGAATGAAAGCTGGGTTGGGAAAAACACACACATTAAACCATGATTCATGTGGTCCTTGATGAGTGCTCCTCTCTTTACCCCACCCCCATCCCATGTTAGTTTCAGTGTGCAGCTCCTGGCTTGCATTCGCTGTTAGGTCTGAACCAAGGAACACTAGCTTTTGCAACAAGACTCACCCCACTCCCACTGGGGATCATGGTACACTGGCTCACCACCCTCCCCAGTAATTACATTAAGAGTTGCCACACATGCATATTATACATAAGGTCCTGATTTAATCCATATTCTTATGTTTGTTATGGATTCTTTTACTCTGGCCCTCCTCAATTTCAGCCAGGATAACCTGTGATGAGGGAGCATGGATGCTGTAAGGCAAAATGTGGAGAGCCACACTGCCTGTGCGTTTAACCTACTGGGGCAAAATAGAAACATGAATTTGTTTGTTGCTGCTCATCCTTTTTCATTTTTAAATACTGCCACTTCAACACCTCTTCATTTAATAAATAAAACCCTTTTCATCTGCTGTAACGATCATGAGCCACCACTAATTCATTCAACAAACACTCCACCTCAGGGTGAAACTTGTTGTATCTTTTGAGTTTTCAGGCTGCTTTGTACCAAAGCAGAAAAATTAGTATTGATCAGCCCCTGTAGTAGTCTTCTGGACTGTTCTTTTCTTGAAACCAATAATTACCACAGTCAGTGTGTTGAAGCCTGCTCTTCCCAGTAGATGTCCTAAATCATTAACAGCAGTAAAAGGCGATACGTGCGGTGAAAATCCACCTTCTCTTTCTAGTTCTGCCAGCTGCAAAGAACAGCGAAGCTCATAGAGTGTGTCTCCCCCAAACATGGAACCAATAAATACTCCATCCGGTTTAAGGACTCGATGGATCTAAAACAAGTCACCACAAATATATCATGCATGAACAAAGTTTTTTTTTTAAGTAGTGATATAAGAATTTGGATTTGAATACAGCCATGGGGAACCTCTGGCCTGCCAAATTCCTCATTTAGGCTGCTCCTTATGGGAATGACCCCAACTCAAACCCCATGAGAGCTGATTGCCACCCCAGCTGGAGGTGACAAGCAGCAGACCATGCTGACCCTGCATCCCATCCTCTGATGAGCAGCAATTCAAAGTACCAGTTGACAGGGCTTTGCTTGCCACCCACCTTCCTCTGTTAGCCAGGCAAAGCTGACTATGGACTCAGCTGGCACTTTAAGAAGTGGTTTATCAAAACCCCAGCTGAACTCGGGGCCGGATTTTGACAGCTGCTCATCATTCTCCATCAGGGAAGGTGAGGGACAGATGAAGCCCACTGTGTGTGCATGCAAGTATGTCTCTGAGGGAGTGGCAGGAGAAGCATACCAAGGATTGGATACCAGCTGTGGCCCTCCCTGTGGCTGGCATGCAGCCCCCAACATGCTTGTCTGAAGCCGACTTGACGCTCAGGCCAAAAGAGGTTCCCCATGCCTGTCCTAAGACAAAGCAAGTCCCACTGATTTCATTGCAGTGCAAGCAACAATACAGGCACAACTAGGGATTTCTACTTCCACCCCACCCTAACCTCTTCCTTTCTTCCTATGCCAATGGAGACTTAACTTCAGACAAACAACCTTTTTGTATTGTGCCAATCTCAGTGTTCCTCTAATACCCCCTCCTCTTTCTCAGAGACTCTCATTTTGCCTCCCATCCTGTCCACACATTATTTCAATTTGCAATGGCAGGAAGTGTTACATCAGCAATAAGTAGAACTATGTGATTAAAAGACAGCCTGGCACAACACTGACATTCCCAACACCTTGGTGTTAGATGCTTATGAGCAGGTTTTTAAAAACCGTACAAAAGAAATCAAAGTGTCCAGTCACATAGGCGAGTTGTTATCTTTGGCACCCAACAGGCTTGGAAACCTAATTAAGTAATAATCAAGTGATAGCTCCAGGAAGAGTTTTGAACTGAAAATGATAATGGATTGGACAATGCACAGAGGCTGCAGATTATATAACACAGCAGAAATATTGACAGAACTGTAGGATTCAATGTTACTCTCATCAGCACTTTTGCCCATTCCACACACTCAGCCAAGTTTCTTACCTACAGGCTCTACAGAGAAGACTGAAAAGAAGTAAAATACAGTCATATAAGCATCTTTATAAAGGCAGTCGTTCTTGTACTTACCTCATGCAGTGCTTTTGGAAGATCATTTACCCAATGCAAGCTATAAAAGGTTTAGATGGAGAAATAAATTAATAAAAATAACATTTTTGCAGCATTCCTCATTTTAGGCAGGTTGTTCAAGCTGGTTATGTGAGGGCTAAAGAATGCTTGCATAGCCCTGAAACAGAATATAAGGTCTGTTAAACATCCCTCACATAACCAACATTTGCCAGGTTCACACAACGAGGAAACTCCCAAGTGATGGCTGCATGACAAAATGGCAGCCAGGCATGCTCCAGAAGCAGCACAACCTATTGTAGCTACTGTGTAAACAGCCTCAATGTAAGCCACATTTACAATGCAGTCCTGTTTACTCAGAGATAAGTCTTACTAAGGTGATTTGCAGATCACTGTAACCAAAAGAAACACCATGCGTGCCAGCTGTATTTCTTTGACTGCTCACATCAGAACCTGGGCAGCGTGGTTTGTTCAGGGTGGCCAGCTACTCTCAAATAAGCTAGCAGCAGCCCATGGGTTATCTGAGGGTTGCTGCCCACTCCCACTAAGCTATGCTGCCTGGGTTTGGACAGCAGAGCAAACCATGTCCATGTGGTTAATTGGGGAAATTCAGCCAGCACACAGGTGGCTGCAACAATCACTCTGTCCCCGGGGGGTGGGGGGGGGCTACTCCCTGTTTGGCATGCATAGCTCTGCAGCCTTAGAACCTAATTTTTCATCTCAGCAACTCCAAATATCAATCAAAATTGATTGGAGGTTTTAAACACTTTGGGAATATGGTCCCTTTAAAGAAGACTACTCTTCAGCATTTGTTTTGCAGCAAGAAGAGAGCGAGAAAAATCAAATTCATGCATGTCATCATTTCCCAGGGATTGCAGAAAGTAGAACTATATGTAAAGTATGACTAGAAAAATAAGATTAAAACTAGAGAAGAAGCCATACTAATAGTTATGAAGTACAACAGTACAGTGGTACTTTGGCTTACAAACACTTCAGTTCACGACCAAATCGGGTTGTGAACAAACATTTCAAAAATTTTTTGACTCAGGTTGTGAACTCTGCATTGGGTGGCAACTGTGATCATGGCCATCTCTCCACCCCCTCAAGGGGGGAGATGGCCGCGATTGTGCTGGGGCCGGGGTGGGGGGAGATGGCCAAGATTGCACCCGTCTTTCCTGCACGAGCACGCCTGTGATTGCACCTGTCTTTCCTGCAGGAGGACAACAGCGATCTCGACCATCTCCCTTCTCAGCAGGATCACGCCGTGTTCACACCCGTCTCCCCTCCAGCGCGACCGCGTTTGTGCCCGTCTCTCCTCCCCCCAGGACGTTGGGATAACAGTGTGTGCAGGGATGACGGGTGCAATTGTGGTCATGCTGTGGGGGCTGGGAGATGGCTGCACTCATGCTCGCGGGGGGGGGGGAGGCCGCAATCTTTGTTGTTCTTTGTCATTTTGCTTCACATTTTTTCTGATTTAAAAAAATTAGTTACAGAATGGATAAACCTTACACTGAATCTTATGGGGAAATTTAACTTGGCTCATGACCATTTTGGGTCACGACCAGAGTCCTGGAACAGATTAAGTTCGTGAGCCAAGCTACCACTGGCCCACTTTACACTTCTAAACATGTCCACTCAGAAGTGTGTTCCACTGATTTCCACCTAGAATTAAGAAGTGTACAGAACTGGCCGGTAACTCAGGAGATTTCAGCTTCCACCCCTTTAAACAGAGCCCAGGTTTCAAAGAACTGTTTTCATCATTCTTCATGCCCTTTGGGACTTTGCAGCACCCACTTCCTATTGCAATCTCCTATTGTGGATGCTGAAAATCCATACCAAGCTACGACACCTAGTCCTCCAGCATTCAATATAATGTAAGGATATGCATCCAGAAGGGAAATTTAGTTGTGCCTCCACCTCACCCCATAGCAGAAGTGTACTTTGCACATCCATGGTCTTTTGGAGTCCCAGCCAAAAATTATATATCAGCATAAGACATGCTAGAAAACGATGCTGACACACAACACTAAGATCCAAAATGTTGGAGTGTGAATTCTGCTTCAAGGAAAACACAGTTTTCATCATAACAATTTGTCTACTTGAATTACCTCAATCCGCTGACAACAAGATCAAATGTATTTTCTTTGAAAGGAAGGAATTCTTCATCAGCCACGACACTGATGGTGGGTATTTCCGATTCTATTGTGTTTTTCTACATCAGGTTATAATAAACATGGTTTAGGTCTGCAGTTAAGACTACCTTACTTTTCAATATCATGAATTAAAGAGCTGCCCCAAAACTACTTACCAAAGCATTTTCAGCAATATCCGTCTGAAAAAGCTTTTCAACAACATCCTAAAACAAATGCATTGGAATTAGTTTCTAACCATTTTACTGATTTTTGGGGGTGGGGAAGTGAAGGCTGCTGGTTTGGGTGTGGAGGAAAAAACAGAATCTGCACATCACTAGTTTGTGCTGAGAAATTATCTATTAAAAGATGATATTTTTCAATGTGTAACCTAAATATTATTCTTTAGTTTCTTATACCAGAATACTTTTGAAACAGTAACTGTTCAATACGAAAGTTGTTTTCAAACTTATTTATGAAATGTAAGTTTTTCTCCCTGAAAATGCAGATAACTTTTACCACATACCTTTGGTAAAATCAAAACTTTTACCTTTGATTTTATACCCATTTACCTGGGAATAAGCCCCAGAAACTCTGTGGGAACTACTTCAGCAAGAATAGTATGTTAAAGATTTATTTAATCTTTATCTTGCCCAAACTCATAATCTAATCCAATTGTGTAATCTCCAGTCCTGTGCATTCTTAACTGAGTGTAAATCCCATCAAATTCAGTGGAATTTACTTTCCTGTAATTAAGCATATATCTGGGCTATTAAGACGCCTAGCTTGCATCTAGACTTTTAGCAACTTAAGCTTATTTACCATCCAATAGAGATTAATCTAATATTTAATCAGTCTGCATAAACCAAATTAAATCTAGAGAAATCATACCTTGTTTAAATGTTGAGCTATGTAGCTTCGTCCACAGCCAAGGTCCAAGGCAAGGGGAAAAGTCCTTTAGGAACAATAAATGGGATTACCTTGCAAAGCTGCAGCACAGTGAGTTATTTAATATACAATACTTTGATGGAATTCATGCTTTTCAAATTAGACACAGGCTGCAATCTAATATACACTTACTTGGCAGTATCCCACAGAATTCAGTGAAAGTATCAGAGTGAACATTAAGCTTGCTCTGATGATAACAATGATAATAACGTTTTCATTTATATACTGCCCTACAGTTGAAACTCTCTGGGTGATTTACAACACTCCATAAAACAGATATTAAAAATATTTGTACAATACAAATACAATACAAGTAGTCCACAAAATGGAATGTTCACCGGCAGACCTACATGGGTTGTTCATCGGTGGATTGTTGGGGCTGTGTGGGAGTGAGCAGATACGCTGCCTCATACCTGCTGGGTGGAAACTCTGGGTTGGTTGTCCCTCAGCCACACAGAGTGCTGATTTCACCTGTAGTAGCTGAACAACCCAGGAACACTTTATTCATGGGCTGTGAAGAGAAATCGTGATGCAAACCAGGAGTGGTGAACAGACAGGAGGCTTGGCCCAGATAGCGCATAGATTAAATAATCTATGACTTGGCATGATTTAAAAATGGGGTTTCACATTTAAGTAAAGAACATAAAGTTGAAACAGAAATCTTCAGAAATCAGTAGCTCCACTTGCAAATGGTTGATGTCAATTTTTTCTTAACAACCACAGCAAGCAACACCAACCTCAAACAGACACAGAATGGAACTCCAAGGAAAATAACTTCCAATCCTTATCACAATACAAAGCAAAACTCCCATTCCGTTGCTTCCACTGAATACAATCAACAACATTTTGTTTCCCAAAGTTTTATTTTTTAAGGAAACATCCGTATCTCTTTAAACATTGTATTGTATTCAACTGGGTAGCCTGAAAAACAGGTATGCACATAAATTTAATATGCCCAGTATCTTACCTGGCTACATCAAACACACGGTCAGCTATCCTAGCACCAACCTGCAATACAGAAAAAAATCAACACAGTCCACCACTGCTACTGGCTAACCAATCATTTTTGCTGTAGTTGACTGAAAAAGTATATTGAACAGCAGCTCACTTCATACCTAATGTCAGTTCAGATGCTTTATTTGTTCATCAGTAGTGCTCTTACAGGCTCACGTTTGTCTGAAACTCTGGTTTGAAATAGTGAATAGCAGTGGTGAGTCGTATTAAACATTGTTTGTCAACTGGAATGCCACAGAAAGAAACAATTCTGCAAAGTTATGGTGGTGCTCCCAAGTGGTAAATCATGGTTTGTTGTTAGGTGAAAGTGAAAGCACCTACTTCAAGCCACTCCAACCTTCCCTACCAACTGTAATAGCTGCAGAAGGGAGGTTTTCAGGACACTTAAGGTGCTGGCTTCCTCATAAGGGTCTGTAACATTGTTCGAGTGGATATCCATTCACCCTGAGCCTATGACATGGAAGATCTGTGATTAGCAGCACAGCATTTTTGTTTAAAGCTTAAAAAGTTTCAGGGAGGAAAGCATACACAGTCTGAGGGCAGTTCTAGTGTTCAACTCCTTCTCCTGGTGGTATTTTTCCAGTCAAAAGTATTTCTTCCTCAATGCTACTATTAGTCCAGTTAAGGGAAAAGGAATGCTTTTTCTTTCTTGTTTCTTTAACTTGTGACCCTCCACATACTTTGGTCTTCAAGGGCCTATGAGAACTGTAGACCAAAGCACGTGGCAGAAGTTGCCCACCACAACTTAGCAGATCAAATAACTGATTCTGGACTCACACATATGTTGGCCTCCAGCATGTTTGAAACTGTGTGAGGAGTGCATTACCCACAATAGGCCTAATGCCAGAAAAAAGCCCTCAGCTCTTTGCCAAGAACTCTTTAAAAATGGTAAAGTGGCCTGAGAATTGCTAACAAAGCAGTGCTGGGAGTGCATCAGTTTATATGGTTTCATGTAAGGACTCCTGTAAGTTAGGGCTTCCCCAACCTCCCACTCTCCAGATATGTCATGCTACAACCATGTTGGCTGACAGATTTATGGGTGTTGTAGTCCGGCAAATCTGGAAGACCGGGGAAGTCTGTGGCCCATTACGGGTCCTTTTCGTTGCTGTGCGTACTAAATCACGTGGAGTTGTTTTGTTTCGATTCGCATCGACCTGCTACTGATCCAGCACGCGTCTTGCTCGATACTGCTGCAAGAGCCCTCAGGAGGGAACTAACCAAGGCATTCCCCCGGCAAAACCTGTATTATGCTCTCCGCCGTACAACTGGGGCGCAGGAGCTGGGAAAACCAGGCTCTTCCTTCTCACGCGCTTTGGCTCAAGGTCGCTCGATTCATGAATGCCTCCTGCAGCCGTGAGCCGGGCAACACGCATTTCGCCTCTGATCGCTAACACCGTGTCGTCGTGTTCACGGGGACAAAGCAAGGGGAGCTGCTCCCATCCAGCCCGCCCCGGGCGACAACCGTGCCAGGGTGGGCGGCCCGGCCTCTTTCCCCTAGCCTACCTCTTCGCGCAGGTACTCGTAGCGCTCCGGTTCTGGCTGCAGCGCCGCCCAGTTCTTCTGCTTCCTCTTCAGCTGCCGGTCGAAAGGGCTAAGAGCTCCGGGCCCCGAGATGGAACGAGATCCGGCTACCGGCGGCGCTGAAATGAAGGCGCGGCGGCAGGGCAGAAGGCAGGCGCCCCCCAGGAGTGTCCGTGCGCCCATCGCTGGGCCGGGCGGGAGAAACCCCGCGCTAGTCGCAGAGGAAGGAAGCGGAAAGAGCAGCACGCGCATGTCCAGCTCCTCTCGCCCGAGTCGGAACCCGCGCGCGCCCGAAGCAATGCAGCGAGCCCAGGCAGTGTCGCTGCAGCCGCCGGCTCGTACGGAGCAGCAAACCTTCCTCAATTCCCTTCAGATCTGTTCTTCTGGATTGCAACGATCACGATTCCTGAGCAGTGGTCCTGCTGGCTGGGGTTGATGGGACCCAGTCTGCAACACCGGGAAGGCATTCGTTCTGGGGAAGGATGTTTTAAGCAGAATAAGCACGCTGCCCCTTGGATTGGAGGGAGTAGACAGCTACCATTGATAACCTAACCCTTCTTCTGAGTATGAGGATGCCAACGAAGCTTTGGAAGATCAATGTTTACACATAATTATTTTAATTCGTTTTTAAACTACAAAAACTGCAAAAAGAAAGGCAAGAGAAAATTAGAATAAATTAAACACAAAAATATATTTGTACATATCCATAACCATGGATGCACATGTAAAAAGAAAAAAAACGCCCATTGCAGGAAGCCTGGTGCCGTCTAATGTTTTGTGGACTACAACTCCAGTGAACCCCAACCAACATGGCTAATGGCCAGGGATTATGGGAGGTGTAGTTCAAAACATCTGGATTTCAGAGTACCAGTTGAAATGTTTCATATGCAATTATTCATAAGGCAGTTCAGGAACCAAGCACTCTAATGCGTTGTCAGAAGTATGCTGAAGTCCTCGAATTTGCTATGTTTTCCAGTGGAAATTACATTCCACCGGCGAAAATAATTGGCATCAAAAGGGAATAAGGCACCCTAGTCCGCTTAAGTCTATGGTTAGATTAAAGAGGTGGCCTCAACGGCAGTTCAGTACGACTTCCGGTTCCTTTGGCTGCAGCTCTAGTGCTCCATGTGCGGGGAATATGAGATGGGATGAGAAATCAAAGTTTTAAAAATTTCACATCATGTGAGAGTTAGATATTCCCTTTCATTGCAATGTTTTCTAAAGAGAAAGAAATCTTCAACGCTCACTTGCAATTTTAGCTTTCTTTAATGTTTTACTGTCTGAGCTCCGATGCCTTGGAGAAGCCTACAACTGAGTCAGAACACTTTCAAACGTACGAACACATGTGAAACATTTTGGCCATGTCGGCTGCCGTTCATAATAATACGTTCCGGAAATGACCTAAATTATCTGCGCACGGAAGTTTCTCGGAGCGTGTGATCGGTGCGTGGAGTTGTCCAAGTGCAACTAAGTCAGTTAAAGGGGTTTTAAAAGAGAAGTGTGGCAGACGGTGTGTACTGGTTGTGTTCGTGTGGTGGGGGCGCTGGTGGATGGAATATTTTCTGCGGGTTCATGGGAGGTTTTTTCCTTTTGCTATTTCCCACAACAATACAAATAGACAGTGTGGAGTAGTGGTGAAGGGTTAGAATGGGGACTTGAGAGACACAGATTCTAGTCCCTACTAGGCCAAGAAGCTCACTGGGTGACTTTGGGCCTGTCACTGATTTTCAAATTAATTACTTCCTACGATAGTTGTGAGGATAAAATGGAGAAGAGGGCTCTGTTAAACCACCTTGGCTTTCTTACGGGGAAAAAGGCGAGAAATAAATGTAATAACTGAATAAAATATACTTGGTTGGCACACAAATCTGCACTTTGCAGTTTCATCTTAACTAGGCAACAATAGCTACTGCTTTCTTAGAGTTAGTGTTGGCAGATACTAAGTACAGGTCAGAAAACTAAGAATCCTAACATCATTGGGGTATTGAAACAAGAGATGTCATGCTGGACAGGAGTATTCCTTGTTATGTCCAGTGAAACAGTAGTTCATGGTTGAGGACTTTCAATCTTGTAATATGTTTGAGCAGTATAGTTGAATATAGGAAGAAGTTATATTCCAGTATTGAACACTGGCATTGGCATGCGGAAGGTTTTGTCACTGGTATCTCCAATTAAAGATTTCAGGTTAGCAGGGTTGGGAAAAGCTCTATATGAGGCATTGTATTAGGCATGGGTAAGTACTGAGTTAAATGAACTGAGATGGAGCAGCTATGGACATTTTATATATATTAGTTGTTTATAATGCAGTTTTTTAAGCTGCTGTGTTTAAAATATACATTTGCCCAACTGAAGTCTGAGGCTAAATAGCCTGGAGGCCCCCCAGGCAATGCCACAGAGATGTGGTGGTACTCTGGAAGCAATGAAGCACATTGTGAAAGCCAAATGTTGCCCCAGCAGGTGGGATGGCAGCCACACTATATTTTAAATATATCATTGTGAGAAAGAGTAGTAATAAACTTAGCCAATCACTCTCAAGTTCTAAATTGCATACAACCAGCGACAGGAAGGAAACCTATTTAAATGTTTTACAAATTCATTTCGTAGACATCTTTGCCTTTTATTGATCCTGCCTCTTAGACTCTGTCATCTCAGATAATTACCGTGATAGTGATATTTTGGATTTTACTGATTATCTTAATCCTTTTCAGTGTAGTGTCCAATTTTGGGACTGAAGCTGCAATGTCTTCTTTGGATGACCTAGGATGGGAACAGGATGAGGGCAGGGAAGTGCATTCTCATTGGTCTTCAGTGGCTTTCAGTACCTAGAGTCATGTATGCTTGTGGACATTCTGGCCTCATAGGATTGGGAGATCTCATTTTGCATTGGCTCCAGTTGTATCTGAAGGACAGAAGGTTATCTGCGTATACTATGCTGGACTTGGCCATTAGCACAGGTAGTCAACTTGAAATAATTTCTAAAGATCTGCAGTTATCAGTTAATATCCTTATTCTAGGGAGATAGTGTGGGTCCTGAAATCACTGTTCCCTGCATTCACTGATGGATAAGATTTGTGCTAAGATGCTGCCACTTGATCCAAATAAGACAGAGATGGTTTTGTTAGTATAAAGCTCAGCTTAGCTTAGGTGTACGGTCTGATTTAGATGATTTTGCATGTGCACAGGCTGAGATGGATCTTGGATGGTGAATTTACAGGTGAGGGCAGAAATGCTTTTGCAAAGTTGTGGCTGGTGTGCACTTTCCTGGAAAAGGTGGATTTGCCACAGTCATACATGTTGTAATCCCATCCATGTTAAACTAATTTGGTTTTATTAGAACTTGAAAGGTGGAATGAAATGTTGAGTAAGTCTCCCTTTAACCAGATTTTGCCATGTACTTCTTTGGACTAGGTGTGTAACATTCATCCCACCAAGCATACTGTTAAGCTGCTTTGCTACTTTACAAGTGCTATTAGTAATTTTAGGGCAAAACATTTTTTTTCTTTCATCATAATCTAACTTAATGGATTTTAATTTTATTTCTTCTTAACAGTTCGATTTTGGATTTTTTAAAGTGAGAAAATGGATTCTAAAAAGGAACTCATGAGTGATCAGCGGTTTTCCCGCATTACGAAAGACCCTAGATTTTGGGAAATGCCAGAAAAAGAACGTAAAATCAAAATTGATAAAAGGTTTCAGGCTATGTTTCATGACAAGAAGTTCAAGTTGAAATACACTGTAGATAAACGAGGGCGACCAATTCAACACAGCTCCACAGAGGACTTGAAACGATTTTATGACCTTTCTGATTCAGATTCTAATTTGTCAGAGTCTGACCACAAACAAACAGAGAAGAAAGCTAAAGGAAGAAAGTCCAAGTCTAAAGGGGAAAGAGGACCTGATAAGTCTGTTGATAGTAAAGAAAGCAAAGTGACAGATGAGAGTTCAGCCATCTTGAAATCGGAAGTTCTAGAAAATGAAGGCCAAAAAAGTGCATCATCCATGTCCAGAAAAAATGTAAAAGACACAAATAAGGACCATGTACCAAAGAAGCAAAACAAGCAAGATGTAATTGCTGCAGAAAGCACAAGTCAGAAATCTTCACAGAAGTCTATAAAAGAAAAAACAGTGAAAGAATGTCACACAGAAGGATTTTCAGCCCATAAAAGAACGGAATTAGGTTGGTTGTCTGCTGCCTGTATCTGGATCTGCATCTGGATCTTGTCTACCTTTCCTTAGAAGTATTTTTCTTTAGCTCAGTCTGGATAATATTATCTCAGCTTATTAAGGCAAGATGTACAAAAGCAGTTTGCTTGTGCATGAAAGCCTTTTGAAAGTCAAAGCAGGAATTTTCTACTTAACCCTAGTTTCTATTTTTTTTAAACATTGGAATGAGCCAAGAATCTTAAACTGTGATTTGCTTTTGGTTTAAGAACCTTGCATATTCCAAAGCTGCTAACCATACTTTCCCCTTGAGAAGAAACAAGAAACCATGGTTAATCAGTTACTAACTGCTTTGATTGTAAAGCATCACAAAAAGGCTGCATGAGTGGGAAAATGCTTGGATATATCTGCTTATTAAGCCTAGATAGGATTGCTGGAAGATGGCCACTGTGGAAACCTTCCTTCTTACATGGGCTTGATATTGTTTTCAGAGGGAACAATCCTGTGCTACCCCAGACATTGTCTGTGAGTTTGTGGATTAGTTTGGCTTCCCAGATCAGAGGTCAGAGATAGCTCTCTGAGGTAAGACCTTGCAGTCAGAGCTTTGCCGTCCACCCACATGCAGCCAGTGCGGGGGAAACTTCTCCAGTTACACTCTGAGTTTGGGAAAGTAACCTTGGAGAAAGATTAAATCAGGGGTCCTCAACTTTTTCTAAAGGGGGCCAGTTGGCAGGTGCCAGTGGTGGGCGCAGGCTGCCAAGGCGGTGCCGGTGGGGAGGTGCGGGCCAGTGAGGGGGTGGGGCCTGCACAGGCAAGGCAAGGTGGGGCGGAAGGGGGAGCACGCGGTGCGAGGCGCTGACTTGCAAGGAGATTGTTTTTTCCGAGCGAGTTCAAAATGACCTCCTTGCGAGCAAGCTGCCGCTGGGCGCGTGCACAGTGAGTGCAAAACCTGTGGGGCGGGCCAGTTAAATGGGCATGCTGGCTGAATCCGGCCTGCGGGCCTTAGTTTGAGGGTTCATGGATTAAATGGCTGGTGGGTGGATGGGTGGGGATGGGGAAAACATAGATCACCTCTGCTGCTCTTCACACTCTGCTTCAGAGGCTTACATGTACCCCAGTTGGACTGCATTCTCAGTGAATAGTTTCTTGTGTACCTTAAAAAAAGGTTTCTGCATGCTAAATTTCACTTTGTGAGAGACTTGATCAATTTTGCTTAGCTAGCTTTTGTGGTATTTCAGAGCAGTAGTTGGTTCCTGTAACAAAAGCATGCTCTGAACATATTCTGATCTATGAATTAGTGAAAAAATGTTTAGAGTCTGAAAGAAAACTGGCCTTGATCAGTATTTTTAAACAGCTGATGCAGTTGGAAATGGGGGCTGCAATTGCATAATATGTGAAAAGAGCAGGGTGCAGTGCAGTCTTTCATAAAAATCAAATATAGACATCCTTTCCTTGCCAAAGTGTCCTTGTGCTTTGCTCTATATGGAATCCTGCCTCCACTTAAGTATGCCTCACTTAGGGCATGGAATAGGCAACCTGGTGTCCTACATATGTTTCAGACTCCCATCAGTTCAAACTGGCCTGCCAGTGGTTAGGGATTATGGGAACTGTAATTCAAATATCTGATGAGCATCAGCTTGTTTACCACTGTGTTAAACTGTCAGGCAGTCCAGTTTCTTTTTAAAAAACTGTTTCACACCCTGCTTTGCACATGCTAGGGTTGCAGTCCCCAAACCATGAGGGTTTATTTTGTTTTGTCATAATTTCCAGTAATGTTGGATTGAGTTTAATTTTAGTTGAAAGTTGGAGTAGGCCGGTTGAAATTAAATTTTCATTGATACTTATGTATTTCCTAAACAATGGTATATAGAGTAGGACTCCTGCATCCAGTGTCTTGGTTACCATGGTCTCACTTAATTGCAGTCGACCATGGTCCTCTACATTCATGAGAATTAGGGGCTCAGAACCCTTGCAAAAGTAGAAAAACTGCAAATATCTCTAGAGAAAAAACACAATTATCTCTAAGAAAAAAGTGACTATATCTAGTGACAAACTACATGAGTGAGGCTGGCTGGCACTGAGAGAAAGAGCATGGCATCTCCAAAGACAATTGAGTTTTTCTCTAGAGACATTTGTGGTTTTTCCACTTTTGTGGGGATCCTGTGTCCTTAACCCCTGTGTATGTGGAGGGCTAACTGTATAGTATTTAGTGTTTGCTACTATCTGTGGTTTCAGGCATCCACTGGTGGGGCTGGGAACCAGTCTGTCTCCCAGGATGTGGGGGTTCTACTCCACTAATCATTAGTCCAGCCATTAAAATACGTTGCTTATAGCTGCTACACAAAGCACTTAACAATCCATGATAAAATGCCTTGTAAATCATTCCCTCCTCTTTGACTTTTCCATATTTAGTTGTGTTACAATCTGGAACTGAAATTGATTTAATTGTTAATACTTGATCAAGATGCTTAGCACTGCGAAGGTGCAAAATATTTTATTGTGGCACAAGAATTAAGTAAATAATAACAAACTGGCACTTGTTAGTTGCATGAATATATAGCCCCTTTCCTGTGATATGTATCCCACTGCTTCAGAAGTCACATACTGTAAATAATGGATTCGAGTCCACCTATGGGCGATTACAGTGCCATATGATTTTATATTGAACTTCTGGAAGGCCCCAGAGCTTGTTGGAGCACCAAGCTAAGTAAACAGCCTTATGAAGCCCAAGCAACTATCAAAACAACTCCAGGACAAAGTTGTGCAGAAATACTGAAATATTCCAGCCCTGACTGTCCCCTGAACACCATTAAATCCATTATTACAAAATGGAAAGAATATGATTCAGCTGCAACTCTTACCTTTTGTGCCACAATAAAACTATTTTGCACTTTCACAGTGTTTAGTATCTTGTATGTATTACCAAGTAACAATGCTAATTAAATCCATTTTAAATGAATCCAGTAATACAACAAATGTGGAAAAGTCAAGGGTGGGTACTTCTGTAAGGCACTGTATATACAATTTTAGTTAAACAAAGGAGCTAACAAACTGAAATGGTTAGTCACTGCAGTCCATCTGTCTTTGTTTAGACAGAGTTTTCCAGAAGCAAGGGATGGCAGTTTCTGGACAGAGTTGTTATTGGCATAAGATGAAAAGTACAGTCCTTATTTATTTATAGTGAGTAGGTATTCATAATTTGGAAACTGAAGAATACCAGAGCTTCTATTGTTAAAGATCATAAAAATAGCAGTATACAGGATCACCCAAGTGGATTATCCTTCTGATGATTGGTAGATGGCTTTTTCTGGAGCTTGAGTCTGTGATGATTTGCCAGTCCTTGACTCCCAGCATCAAGCCCCTAACAACAGTAGCTTAGTTTGGGTATGATGCTGAATTGTGGATTGGTGATAGAAAAATGATTATGTAGAGAGAAGTTCAGAAGTTCCATTTTAGATTAATCACAGCTTGTTTTATCATTTGAAGCTAGATAGTATAATTTAACTATGGTTTGTTGAAATGAGTCAGCTTCAAACCATAGTTTATAAGGCTGGATTGTTTCAAAGTTTAGTTAAGATAGCCTCAGTTTAGAGTTCAGTTAGTCTGCTAAGCTGTGGTTAAACTAAAATGGCAGTAGAAGCTTCCATTTTACTGTTTGCACCCACTGCATACAGAGAACAGGGTGTGTGTAACCCACCATTGCTATCAGTTGGGATGGGAACAGTTCTAGCAGGTAATAATTGGAGAGATCCAAAGATAGCTGTTCTCTCAACAGAGGCAATGGAATAGCCTTGTAATAATTTGAGATTGGCCTCTGGTGCACTTTTCTCCCTCATTTGCAATAATTTGTGTTTTTAAAACCTAATTTGTAAAAAAAATCTTGATGTTTATCCTCCTGTTTGAAGTTTGGTGTTTATACACACTTTGTTTAAACTTTGACCAAACTGAAGGTCATTTCTTAAAATTCAAAATTACTTGGTGGATATATTGCAGAACATAATTTAAAATTATACCATTTCCAGCTGTCTGAAAATTGAGAAAAGGCTTAAAGTGTGACTTACAAATAAAAACCAGTGAAAGCAGCTTTTTTGCAAAATTTGTGTACTTTCCCCCCTAAATAAAAATACTATCAAAAATAATAACATTTTCAGTGGTTTTAAAAACATGTTAAACTTCATATGCGATAAACTTATTCTCACTACTTCATACAAAATCTTGGATACTAATTTCACAGGTAGTTTTGAGCATGTAATACTCAACTAGTATTTTTAATAGCCATGTTTAATTCATTTTATAATGAATTAAATAAGCTGCACTTAACATAAACAACACAACTCTTAATGGTATTCCATTCTACTTTACATGCATCATGCCTAATGTCTTTTCATTTGGAGGTGATAACAGTCATCATTCTCATTTTGTCAAGGATTCCCATGGTTACCAGTGTCACTCACGCATATTAAATATGTTGCCCATTTATTTAGCAAAGGAAATAGAGCCCTCTGTCAGTCCTGTCAGCAAGAAATGTCTGGAAACTAAATCCCACCAGGATGAGGAGAGCTTTGATCCTGAAGAATCGGAGGGTACTGGAGAAAGCGAGGAGGAAAGTGCATCAGAAGATGAAGAAGAAACTGGAGACGAAAGCGAGACTGATGGTGATGAAAGTGACAGTGGGCCAGATTTGGCGAGAGGAAAGGGAAATGTAGAAACCAGTTCTGAGGATGAAGAGGAGAATGATTTGACTGATATATTTCCAGAGGAGCCAGAAGTTATACATGAATGGGGAGAACTGGCTAAAGATGCTCCTCGTGAAGACAAGGTAAGGTGTATAGCTTAGGTAGTCCTACCTGTGGCTAAAGGAAATAAAAATGCAACTATTATAAATTTTTTTTCCCAATTTTTAGTAGTGTACAGATAACAGATAGCTACTTCAGTATGAACTGATCAGATTTGTACATAAGCTTTTTATAGCACGATTAAGAGCTGCACTCCCTATTGTACGGGAAAGCAGTTGGTGTGATATTTTTCATACAGTCTCATTCATGAAGAGGTAACTCATGCACATATAGATCATACAGTACCCAGGCGACATTCATTTCCTTGTAGTAAATTGATGATTAGAAGATCCATTGATGAGTAGAAGATCCATTGTTGTAATCCATTCCAAGGTTTTCCACTATGTGGCTAGTCAAAAAAACCTGGGATTCCTGACCACCAAATATGGAATGTGTGCTGTCATTAAGCAATCCAAGCAAAAATTAGTTGCTGAGGCAATGCAATTTTTGCAGCTTGATCTAGTCAGTATCAGGTCAAGGGTAAGAGTGGCTTTTGCTGTTTCATTCTCAAGGCAAAGCTTGAATTGTGAGCTGCTGAAAAAGCTGCAGAACTTCAGCATCTAGTTAAATGCCAATGTTTTTGGTGCTAACAGTTTATGCTTTCTGTCCGGTGAGCAAGAATGGCAAACTCTTTCAATTAATGTCTATGCCTATGTAAGAAGAAAACTCCCTTCCATTATTTGATATCTTTGGTGGGGAAGCACAGTCATGGTATGGTTTGATGAATCAATTTTCTGGTCTTTCCATGGCTGGAAGAGCTTTGCAGCAGTGCTCAGACTGAAATGAGAGGCCTGCCAGTTATGCGCACATCTCAGTCTGCAACTGAACTTTCATGTTATTTAAGTGCCACATTTAGTGGTGTTGCTTATGCTAATGCTTTTGCATTATGCACTGTGCTAAAGCTTAGATAGAGTTGGGTTGCAAAATGTTACGTTACAAATTTATTTTCTTTCATACAGATCACACACAGATTGGCAGTTTGCAACATGAACTGGGATCGACTGAAAGCGAAGGACCTACTAGCTTTACTAAACTCATTTACACCTAAAGGTGGTGCTATTTTCTCTGTAAAGGTAAGTGCTTCTTTTGAACAACAAAGTATAATAATCAAATTAGGAGAAGAAACACCTTGCTGTCTGCAAATAGAGACTGGCAAAGTTCTGAATCATTCTTTATCATTTACTGCACTTTAAAACCATCCTATGTTCCCTGACCAGTATACAGTATTTTAAAAACATAAACATAAAAAGAATAAAAATAGCACATAATAGCACATAATAGCACATAATAAAACCAAGATAAAGCCAGTAGCAAAAAAGTAAAAGAAGCGCATAAGGCAAAACTAAAAACATCAAAATAAAAGTCCCCTGAAAACATGTGCATTGTAAAATGGCTGGCAAAATGCAAAGGTCCTCAGCAGATGTCAAAAAGACCATCAGGTAGGTTCCAGGCAAGACTTTCTGGAGAGAACATTCCACAGATGGGATGCCGCCAATAAAGAGGACTTCTCTTTTGTCTTGCCCCATTTGGTGGGGACACGTGGAGGAGGGCCCTGCAGTGATGGCCTTTGTGTCTGGATAGATAAGTATTGAAGAAGATGTTTCTTCAGGCACCCTCACTCAAAGCTGCCTGGAGCATTAAATGTTAAAGCCAGCTCTTTGAATTGGCCCCAGGAACTGACTTGCAGTCTGTACAGTGGCACAATATGATTACATTGCCCAGTTCCAGTTAACAATCTAGCTGTCTTATTTTGGCCTAACTGAAGTTCCCAGACCATTTTCAAAGGCAACTCTACATTGCAGTAGCCTAAATGGGAGGTAACTAATGTGAGTAAATGTCACAGGCTGGTTAGGATGAGGTAGGATACATAGTTGGTATATTAGCATCAGCTGATAAAATATGCTCCAACATACCCGCAGCCATGGATTAAAACAGAAAAGGCATTGATGGGCAGAGGTCTGGTTCTAAGCGAGCAGGACTGTCTCCGTTTCTATGAGTGGCTTCAGACCTGATCTCCCAGAAGGTACAGCTTTGTCCAAGGCCGTTCTCTCTCTTCTCTGCCCCCACAAGGCTTAAGGTTTTAAGAGAGGTTCTTAAAAGTTGTCAGAGCAGCAAACCTTTAAATAAGCCACAAAGGAACTGAGGACTCTGAAGTGTAACGCGGATGAGTTTCACAGTAGTGTACTTAGTCCCCCCCACCCCCATTACCAGGGCTTCCTGATGAGTGGTATCACTGGCCCTCTAAAAGGATATTGCAGAACTAAATAAGGTCCATAGATGGAAGAACAAAATAAGCAAAGGGTTCAACCAGTTCCCCTATGAAGAAAGGTAGCAGTGTCAGGGGTTTAGAGAAAAGGTGAATGAAGGGGACATGGTATAGGTGTACACAATTATGCATGGGTGTACGGAAAGTTAATAGGGAGATAGTTTTCTTCCTTGTAGGGTTAGAATGTGGAGCCTTCCCAAGAAATTCAATGGTGGGAGGCTCAAGATATATCAGAGGCCATATTTCAGTTGGTGGGGAAAAGAATGGGAGGGGGCTGCCCTTTTCATGGCCTGCTTGTGAGCTTCCCAGTCAGGCATAGGATTGTACTGTGTGAGAACCAAATGCTGTTACATTTTTTAAGTGGTGAACGCATGTCTGTTTTTGTTTCTGTAATACTTCATGGAAAGTAAGAATGGTGGAATCTTGCTCTCTTACAGAGAACAAGTGTGGAAGCAGAACAGGGGGCACAGAAGAACAACAGGGCTTAAGTTCAGCATTTTCTGCTGCTAAGTCACTCTTCCATTCACTGTTTCTCCATTTTGAAGTACTGCTCTTGCACATGTGACTTGAGACTGATCCCTAACGACTGGTGTGGAACAAGAAAAAGGAAAAGTCTTGAAGTCGTTTTGTTTTCATAGCTTTAAATAGTGGTGCTGAGTTCTGTGACTGACTTAGCATCCTATGTAGGTAGCAGTTTCTGTTACAGCCTTTGAGGCTTGAGTGGCGGGGAAGGACATGCGAAACTTTGTACTTGAAATGTGTGCTGTTGACAAAATACTTGATGCAACTGGTTTGTACCTTTTAAAATTGTTCCTAGATTTATCCTTCAGAGTTTGGAAAAGAGAGAATGAAAGAAGAGGAAGTTAATGGCCCAAAAGAACTATTAAGCTTTCCTGAAGATGTTACAGAGAAGGACAGGTATTTGATGTTTGCTAAATTTCTGTCCTGTCAAAGTCATAATCTTGTGCACATCGATAAATGTTCATAAGCTTAGCCAGTCTGTATCCTCAAGCTCAAAGAAACCACTTTTTAAAAATCATACCTTTGGTATATTCTTTCTTGTTCCCCAAGCATTGTATGCCCATGTACCTATTGCAGCTTCCTCCCCGCCCCCCGCCCCCCGGACTCTATTCTGTCCCTCATGCTGTTCAAAGTTTGCATTGGGGAAGGTATGACCTGAGGTGTCATCCGTATGCAAATGACACCCAGTTCTGTCTCAACTTTTCATTGAACCCAGGTGAAACAGTGGATACACTGACTCAGTGCCTGGGCACAGTACTAGACTGGGCGAAGAGCAGTAAACTGAGACTCGGTCCAGACAAGGTGGAGGTACTTTAGTGGGTGGGCTGTCTACAAGGATGAGTGATATTCAATCTGTTCCAGAGGGGAACAGATTGCAGTCTCTGGTTCACAGTCTGGGGGTGCTTTCAGGTTCAGCATGGTTGCTGGAGGCTCAGGTAGACTCATTGCCATGGAGCATCTTTTATTAGATTAGGCCAATATATCAGCTACATCCTTTTCTGGATTGGGATAGCTTAGTTAGAGTTATCCATGCGTTGGTAACCTCTTGGCTAGCTTACTGCAGTGCATTCTAAATGAGGCTGCTCTTGAAAATGGCTGGAAAACTTCACCTGGTCCAAAGCAGGGCAGTGAGATCGTTAACACAGACTGGCTGATGTGATCATATTAGGTTGCTTTAGCAACTGCACCGGCTGCCATTCCATGTTTGGGCCCAATTCAAAGTGCTGATATTATCATTCAAAGCTCTAAATTGCTTTGCTCTGAAGCATCATCTCCTTATATACATACCTGCTTCGACCCTGAAATTGTCCTCAGTGGTCCTTCTGCATGAGCCCCTGCAAAAAGGAGTGAAGTGAGTAGGTACTAAGAAGAGGCCTTTTCTGTTGTGGCACCCCAATTATGGAATAAACTTCCCTGAGAAGCTTACTTACCCTTGCATCATACTCTTTCCAGCACCAGGGGAAGACATTATTTTCTCAGGAATTTTTCAGCCTCTCTTATTTTTAAAACCCTTACTTTGTTTTAAAGCTTTGTACTACTGCTAAGCTTTACTTTGGCTCTTACTTCTATTATATACTGTAGCTGTATACTTTTATATGGTTTTAATTGTTGTAAACTGCCCAGAGAGATTTGACGATTGGGTGGTATACAAATATAATAAATAAATGAATTTGTTCTAGTGGCAACTGTTAGAGGTTTTATAGCCATGCCAATAATTCCTCCCAGTAAGGTTTAATTAGGAAAACTTTACTAAAAACTGTGGCAGGGAATTCCATGGTCTAAGCTTCAATGTTAATTTAAAAAAACAGAGTTGGGGCAGTGAACATGCTCTTCCATTGCATCTGGTGGCAGTGGTGAGATAAGCTATAGAGTTTCTTTCACAGGTAAGTTTTACATTAGATTATCATTAATTATAGATGCTATAATTCACTACAGCATCTACCCAGAACAAGCTCAAAAACACAAGACTCTATAGAACAAAGCCCACCTTTTCTTGAGTATTATAATATGGCAGTTCTTCTCACATGATAGGATACTGAGTGTAACTTGGAGCATCCCTAAATGTCTATCAGTAACTTTAATAATTTTAATAAGGGATGAAAAAATAACTGTGCTAGATATCTTATGGAGAGGATTAAAATACTTTTTTGCCCATGGCTTCATTATTTTCAGAAATTTTGTACCTCTATTCTATCTATAGAAGTTTTATTATATAGTTTTTAGAAATCATGTGTGAGGGATAAAGGCTGAGTAGCAACATATAAGCACCTCATCTTAAATATTTGATTTATCATTTTAACAAAGTATTGCATGATCTAAAACTGTTCATTATTTTCCATCTGTGGGGTGTGGCACCAAAATGGCCTTTGGAAAAACAGTTCCCCTCTTCAAGTCCCCCCCCCCCCAGGTTTTCACATCACTTCTCTAAGCAAAGGAAAAACATGATAATTGGAGTAGAATGTTGTGATTTAAAAGTTATACAGGTAGATTAGGATCAAAAGTAAAATATGTTCCCAAGTTTTGAGCACTGATTAATTAAATACAGAGATCATTAATAGTTGGGTGTGTACAACACTTAAGCGCTTCATGAATGTTACTTTATAACAGTGTTGTGAGATAGGTCAGTTTCATGTTCATATTGCAGAAGGAGAGATTCAGACTGAGTGGTTTATCTAAGATTACTTAGGGAAGTCGTGACCAAGGCAAGATTTGAACCAGTGACTTTGTCTCATAGTTTGTTCTCTTGGTTATTCTACATGCTAGTTGTCTATAAAGTAACCAGAACATTCTTATCTCAGACTTTTCACACAGAGGATCCGAGAGGTGACGAGGGGGGGAAACATCCTTGACTTGGTCTTGACCAATAAGGAGGAGCTGATAGATGAAATACAGATTAGGGGAGCTCTGGATGCAAGTGATCACTCCATCCTTTGCTTTGAGATCAGGGGACTGGGAACGTGCAGCAGGTCGAGCACTAGAAGCTGGGACTTCAAGAGGGCCAACTTTGGCCAACTGAAGGCCAGACTGGGGAAAGTCTCCTGGGATAGGTTACTGGAAGGTAAGTGAGTTGAGGAGGGGTGGATGGCACTCAAAAGGGAGGTTTTGGAGGTGCAAGCCTTGACAATACCTCTAGTCAGTAAGGTGGGGAGGCGGAGGAGAGTGCCGCCATGGATGTGAAAGGAGCTGGTTAGAGGGATTAGATGAAAGAGGAACCTCCGTAGGAAATGGGTACTGGGGCAAATAGACAAAAGGGTATACCAGGAGGAGGAGGCCCATTGCAGAAGGTTTCTTTGCAAGGCTAAGGCTGATTACAAGCTGAGACTTGCCAAGAATATCAAGAGCAACAAAAAGGGCTTCTTTCAGCATGTAAATAGGAAGAGGAAGGGGAGACAAGTGGTGGGACCACTAAATAAGGAGGAAGGAGATCCAGTGACTGATATGAGGGAACAGGCACAGATGCTAAACGACTATTTTGCCTCTGTGTTCTCCCCAAAGCAGGATGGGGAATATCCGCATAGGAGATTAGATGAGGCTGGGGACTTAGGGGCAGAGATTAGAGTCACCCCCCTTGAAGTCGAGGGGCTCCTCAGGGCATTGGACATTACAAAGGCGCCAGGCCCTGATGGGTTACACCCAAGAGTACTTAGAGAGTTGGCAGGGGTTCTCTCACGCCCGCTGGCCTCCATTTTTGAGGCCTCGTGGAGAATGGGTGAAGTTCCAGAGGACTGGAGGGGGTGGCATCAGTGGTCCCAATTTTCAAAAAGGGTAGTAGAAGGGACATGGGGAATTACAGACCTGTTAGCCTTACATCCATTGTAGGAAAAACAATGGAAAGGCTCATAATAGAGAGAGATCTAGTGATGCTAGATAGGGAAGGGAGGCTGACAGCCGCACAACACGGCTTCCGCAAAAACAGGTCCTGCCAGACAAACCTTGTGTAATTCTATGACAAGGTTTTGAGATGGCTAGATGGAGGGGATGCAGTGGATGTGGTATACCTGGATTTCAGCAAGGCCTTTGACAAAGTGCCCCATGATACCCTGGTGGAGAAACTAAGGAGTTTTGGGATACACCAAAGCACTGTCTGGTGCATTAGGGCATGATTGACTGACCGAAAGCAGAAGGTAACCATTAGTGGGGAATCATCGGGATGGCGGCCAGTGACAAGCGGGGTCCCCCAGGGCTCTGTCCTGGGGCCAATCCTGTTTAATCTTTTCATTAATGACATGGAAGAAGGGATGAACAGTCTGCTGATCAAATTCGCAGACGACACTAAAACTGGAGCAGTGGCCACAACTGAGGAGCAGGTACTCCAGATCCAAGAGGATCTCGACAGACTATGGAAGTGGGCAGGAGACAACAGGATGGCGTTCAGTGTGGATAAGTGCAAGGTCTTGCACTTGGGGCATAGAAATAGGTGTCAAAAGTACAGGTTAGGTGACAAGTGGCTGGAGAGCAGCACTTGTGAAAGGGACCTCGGGGTACTGGTTGACTGCAGGCTGAACATGAGTCAGCAGTGTGATGCGGTGGTCAAGAGGGTGAACGCCACCCTTGGTTGCATAGCCAGAAGTGTGGCTTCTAGATCGAGAGAGGTATTACTACCACTCTATACAACTCTGGTGCACCCGCAACTGGAGTATTATGCTCAGTTTTGGGCCCCTCATTATAGAAGGGATATAGCCAGGTTAGAGTCAGTGCAGCGTAGGGCCACAAGGTTGGTGGCCGGTTTGCAGGGGAAGGGGTATGAGGCGAGACTGAGGGAACTGGGTCTCTTGAGCCTGGAGAAGAGGAGACTCAGAGGGGATATGTTGGTGACATACAGGTATGTGAGGGGATGTCACATGGAGATGGGTAGAGACCTGCTCTCCCCTGCAGAGGAAGGCAGGACGCGCTCCAATGGAGCAAAGCTCAGGGAGCCAAGGTTCTATTTGGATGCCAGGAAGCATTTTCTGACAGTCAGGACCCCGAGGGTGTGGAATGGGCCTCCATGAGAGGTCGTTGAGGCCCCATCAGTGAGGGTGTTCAAGGATAGGCTGGATGTCCACATGGTGGGCATGTCATGAGTGGAGCTGGCTGGTGCCGGAGGTCCGAGAGACCCCTTCTGACTCACTCTGTTTCTTTGTTTCTTAGCAGCATACTTTTCCCACTAGTTGTTAATTGAACCTCTGAATACGCTTTGGAACAGATTTTAAACCAGTCTTAACTTTTAAGCCCCCCTGCTAATTTAATATATTGTTGATTTAACTGTAGTCACAATGATAGGTGCTTCACCTATCAGCCTGGTTCAGACATTGCAGGAAACTTGGGTTTCCAGCTGCATGCACAGTGACCCTTGGTCTTGCATGCTTAACACTTTTCCTCTCCTCTTCTATGTGAAAGAAATAGAAGACTTCCAGTTTTAAACACAACACAGCAAAACGGATGTGGCTGGAGTGTTCAGGCTCAAGGTTTGCTACAGTTTGTTCACATAGTGGGAACCATGCTATTGGGTTTAAATTGGATCACTGGCTGTACACCCAAGAGTATAAGAACTGGTTATCTAAAATAAGTTAATGTGAGTGAATGAACACAAAAACACACTGCATCTGCTTGGAGTGGCTGCACTTCTGTTGAGTATGCATGATGAGGTTGCAGGCACAGTTTGCTGCTAAATACTATCTGAAATAAAACTGGAATATCAAAGGAATATGTAATGATGCTGTATTCTACCACTAGATGGAACCTTTTCCCATCAGTAGGTGAATATCACCAATTTCCTAGTATAGACATCAGTGAACAATTCAGTATTAAAAAATCTGAAAAGGGGGAAATGGCTAGTTTAATTGTTAGGCCTACTACAACATTTTTGTTTAGGAGCCTCATTGTATTGGTACTTTAGAAAATACATAGCATGGCTCTTACCTAGAGGGCTTCCTTTTCACATTATAAGACCTTTGGGATAAGGATCTGACCTCTCCCCCTCCTCATTTTTTCCTAACTGCACTGTACATAAAAGGTACCAAATAGTAATGGTAGCAATAGTTGGGGGAAATTATATTTATTCATCATATTTAAATCTCCAAAATTATTGTTAGCCGCTCAAGGCAACTAAGGATGACATACATGGGGGAATGGCAGATTCTGCAATTAACACATTAGCAGAACAATCCTCTGACCCCTAGACTTTGTCTGCAGTGTTAGAGGATATTTCAGATTCCCAGATCAGATTGATAGACAACTCCAAATTTCAGAGCTCAGAATCTCTGCTCTGATCCTCCTCTGCCCCTTTCAGCCAGTGCAGAAAGAACTGTGTTGGCTGTCATTCCAATGTTGGGAACTTAACCCCACAGAGATGGGGCAAAGGGGGTGTTCTGCTGGGGGTGGAGGAGACTGCAGAGGCCAGGCTTTGATTATCATGTGTCCTCTGCTGTCGTCTGTCCTTCCCTTTTAAATTGCCCAAGCTGAAAACAGCTGTTTAGCAGAAATACAGAGTGGGATAAATAAAGAGGTGAAGATAACTTCTGCTGCTCCTGCTATTCTGAATATGTTGCTTGTCAGCCTCCAAGTTCAGGAGTTTATAAGCAGCAAGGCAGCAACCCATAGGACTGTCCCCTAAAACTCATTAATTAAAAATGCATTCAGTAAAACAGGAGTCTGAATCAGACAGACAGGAGGACAGAAGGAAGGAAGGAACACCAACTAGATGTAAAATCCAATTCAACAGGAAATCTGTTTAAATACTAAAAGTTTGCCTAAACAGAATTGTGTTTGCCTGACTATAAAAGGGCATCACGGATGAAGCTTGCCCAGGCTTCTTTGGCAAAGCCCAGGAGCAGCCACCAAGAAGACCTTCTCTTGCATCCATGTGCCAAGAATGCCTTGATCGTGGTGGGACCAAGAGAAAACCAAGGGAGTTTCAGCACATACAGGCTGCGGAACTGCAGATCACAGGAAAGAGGTGGAAACAGAAATATCCCTCTGTGTGCATAAAAGCTGTTAGCTGTAGCTAGTGGAAGTCTACATATGCTGGCTCAGGAAGACTCCTGCTTGGAGGATGGTAGTTTTGCTCTGAGTTTAGTGTGCTTGCAGTGTGCTGCTAGTATTGGGACAGAATGCCTTGGTACCAAACATGTGAGAGTACCTTGTAAACTCCTCTTTTTCCTGCAATATCAGACTGAAGGGAGTATCTGTCCTCTTTGCTCATTGAAGATGGTTAGGAAATTTTATAGTTGGATATTGCTTCACAGTGCCTTCAATTTTCTGATGTTAATTGACCCTTTTCATGTTTTGTAGTATTTTTAAGGAGATACTGAGAGACTATCAGTTCAAACGACTGAGATATTTCTATGCAGTGGTAGAATGTGACTCCCCTGAAACAGCCAATCAAATCTATGAAGAGTGTGATGGACTGGAATTTGAAAGCAGTTGTTCCTTTGTGGACTTGAGGTATTGTGCATCATCATCATAATTTTTGTAATGCTTAACCTAATTTTGCCAAGTCAGTGTTAAGCATCTTTCTGCTTTTATTTATTTATTTTTATTTATTTTCCGATTTATATCCTGCCTTTTTCCTACAAAGGGCTCAAGGCAGCTTACATCTCCTCCTCCATCTTATCCCCACAACAACAACCCTGTGAGGTAGGTTGGGCTGAGAGTCTGTGACTGGCCCAAAGTCACCCAGTTGGCTCCAGGTCTTTCTGCTTTTCAAGTTGATACTTTATGGAAATCTGGCTTTTATGCTGTGGACTCAAGTGTGAATGAAGAATATACTTAAAGCTTGCAGAATTTCATGCTGGAAAGGATATAAATATAAAAAGTGTTCAGAAGCATAAGTTAAGGTGGAATCTTTCTTAGATTGAGGCAAGCAATTTGTGGCCTTCCAGTTATTTTGGCCTGCAACTCCCATTATCCTTTATCATCTTGTACTGGTGGGAGTTATTAGAGTAAAAGATCTGAAAGACCCTATATGTTTCCAACTCCTGTTTTACATGTTTCTTGCTGCCCAAGAGTCTAAAAGCCAACAGCAGTGAGATACAAGGAGGGTGGCAGTAATCAAAAGTGAGTTGCCACCCTTGCACTTTCTAATTATAATCCCAGCAAGTCTTTCCTAGTTTAGTATTTGTATGACTATGGTAAAGAAGTACAATCACAGTTCTTTTTCTTTCCATATTTCTTTTTCTATTCCTGATTTAACCATAATAGTCACACATATTTTACCACAAGCAGATACATGACAACCTCATATTAGTCAGCCATAGAAGAGCCAGCAATAAGACCAGGCAGGCGTGATGACCTCAAAATTTGTAGAAGGTCAACAGCATCCCTTGATGCTGGTAGTTTCCAGTACTGTTGCTTTCTTTGTGGAGGAGCTTCTCCTCCCCCTCCCCCTCCTGGCAGTCCCCTGTATCTGACCTGAAAATTTGCTGTATAGGGTTGGAGGCCCTTCAGAACCACAAGGTTAGCCAGACTTGCTCATCAGAAGAGCCACATATGGTAAATGCCAGATGTTTGAGAGCTGCAAGTGGGTGCCAGCAGGTAGCAAGCAGTGAGTGGCAAGCCATAAAATAAACTCAGAAAGCTGCATGCAGCTCATGAGCCTCAGTTTGCTGTCCCTGACATAGCAGAAGCTATATAATAGAATGACACCACTGGATTCCACTTATTGGGTTGGTTTGAGCCTATGTTCGAAGCATGTCTGTAGGAAGCAGAATTTGAAAATTCCAGGGTGAGAGAGAAGGAAACATGGGGCAGAACACAGAAAGCTAAAAATGGAAGTGGTGTGGGAATTACTGTAGACATGGGAAATAGTGGGCATGTTCATATGAATATGTGAATGTTCTGTGATGTGTGTGGAACAGCCCCCAGAGCACCTGACAGACAATCAGGCTTGCTGTAGTTTGTGTCCCCACTGCTTGCAGCCCCCCCCCCACCACCAGTATCCCAGGAGATTCCATGGCAGGGCCCATCTTTTTCTCCTCCCAGTGCCAACCATGACCCTTTTGCTAGGAACTGAACCTGGGGCCTTGTGTGTATAAGGCTTGGGCTCTACCACTCAGCTATAGCTCTTCTGTGTACCTAAAATTATTTTTAGGCTGCCTTTAAGGATGAAACCCTCTTAAGGCAGCATGCTCTTTACTGGCTTCCAACTCTCTGAGGCCTCGTTGTCTGTCACAAGTTGTCAGGGTTGTACTGTAGGTCCCTGGCTCCAGGTCTGGTTATAGGAACTCTCATCATTTTTCTGTGGAGCTCTGTTGGAGCTGGCAGAGCTTTTCCAGAGCTGAACAAAGGGTAACTCTTTCATCTGTCATTCCCATTCTCTTAACCGTAGACTGAAAACAACTGTTTTTCTTAGAGTTAATACTAATTAGAGAGAAGTTGGGTCTATCACTTTTGGTTCCTTTGAAGTCTCGTGATAATCTGTTTTCATAATAAATAATTTTCTTTTGGCTTTTTAAGATTTATTCCAGATGATGTGACATTTGATGATGAGCCAAAGGACGTGGCCTCAGAAGTGGACGGAGCTGCTTACAAACCAAAGTTCTTCACATCTGCTGCTGTGGCAACATCAAAGGTACCTTAACAGTGTTTTTGTAGCCCTTCAGAACTTGTTTAGTTTTGTGTGTTCTTAATTTGTAAATTATGTAAATACAACAGTGATCGCACTGTAGATAGAAGGGGAGAGTGATCCATTTGTATTAATGCCGTTGTCAAAGGCCAGACGTACAGCCCTGATCCTGGGGGCTTGTGCCTTGAGTTTTGGTGGGTTCATAACCTTGCAACATGTGTGTGTTTGGCTGTGCTGACTGAGGGTAAGATTGCTTTAAAATACAGTTTTTAGAGTCTTTTTGCTCTTGTGCTAGCTTCTCTTAAAAAATCTGTACACTATCCAGTGTAGTATTTTGCACTTGGTTTCTCTAAACCATATGGTGTAGATGCAGACAGTTAATCAAAGGATTTAGGTAAATTGGTCAAGTAAAGTTTCTTACACGTTCTGTATATAAATCAAAAATTGCACAGAAGTTGGTACAATTTTTTAACTTTCATAAAGATTGTATTGTGTTACATTTTGTACGCCACTTTGGTTGTGCACATGTATACAAAAGGCCAAATATGCATATTTGAAACAAGGATATTGGTAGCTGGAGCCTACTAAAAGTTTTTATGCTAAACAAATTCATTATTACATTTGTATCACACTCTTCAGCTCAAGAGCTCAGGGACCATGCCATGTTAGCTCTTGTTACACTGGAGGCAATTTGGTGCAAATTGTCATTTCTTCACACACTTTTGGTTTATGCAGTGCTCACCAATCCTATTTGGAGTAAGAGTCAGTTGCATATGTTGAATAGAAACAATACTTGGCATTTATATAACACTTGAAATTTAATTAAAACATTGTATGTGTACTTTTATTGTAAGGTAAGTGAATATAATTATTTCCACACTGCAGAATCAGGTGAGGAATAAATAATGAGAAATTGCTCAAGGCTGACTAAGGCCCATCTAGTGAGTTCATTGCAGACATGAATTCAAACTAGGGGACTACATGATTTGTAGTTCAGGGTGCAATCTTATGCACACTAACACAGCGGAGCTTATTGTATATATGTGGTTGTGCACCAATATTCAATTGCTTGTGAATAATTCGCGCTGAACTTAGTGGGTCTTATGCCTGAGATGACATGTACAGGATTGCACTGTAAGTTTGTATGTTGTCCAATGTTGGACAGTGCTTCAAAAAATCTAAACTTTGCTTTGAAAACAAAAGCTGGTAAACAAACTTCAAATTTGGAATGAAATGGTCAGGTGTATGTAGCTAATGTCTGAGGAAGAGTTGGTACTTGGAGACCTGGTTGTCATGATCCCTGTGGCTGGCTTGTTTAAGCTGCAGAATGCACCAGACACTATTTGTATAATTGTCTGCTCTAATGCAACTTGTAGTGTCATACAAAGCTGAGTGGTAAGATATGTTGAGGTGGGAAACAACATTAAATACTAACAGCACATAGATTATTTGAGGGTTTTGTCCTTCTCCAACAAGGCATGCCACCTGACTTTGGATTATATAGCAAGCTGTACCCAGGCAAATAATTAAACAATGACTCTGTGGCTTGAGCAAACCACCATGGCTTGTTTAAGCCATTGTTTAAGCCATGGTGATTGTGTGCATTTTGCTGTTGAAATGCTTTGGGCACACCCTTCCCAAAGAGTCCTCAGAGAGGGTAGTATCATCTGCAGCCAACCCACCCCTACCTGCAGTCTCAACTTGAGCTTTCCACTGCTGCAAAAATGAACAGATGCTGAGGGATGGGATTGTTCTGAATTGCACTCAAGTGCAGCAAAAGCTGATGAAAGCTACTCTGCTTTGAAGAAGTATTGGCCTTTGACTTATACAGTCAACAGATGCCAATTTCTTTAATTTTGTGCAACAATAAAAACATTGTGCATTTTCACTGTGTGGAGTATCTTCTGTATATCAAGTGTTAACAATGCCATTTAAATCCATTTTACTTCCGGGATGTAATACAAAATATGGAAAAGTCAGTGGGGTGAGGTGAATACTTCTGAAAGGCAGTGTATAAATTATGGTTGTGGATACTAAGACTGAGTCTCCAATAGTCCAGAAATAAGCTTGATGTTGGTTAACTCGTTTGATTCTTTATACCACAGCCTTAATTAGAGGTAATTATTAGATACCCTTGGTATAAAATGTAGTACGTCTGTTTTGAATGACCCTAAGGTAGACATCACATGGGATGAGACGGATCATGAAAGGGTCACCTCCCTGAACAGAACTTTTAAAAAAGAGGAGCTGCTGGACATGGACTTTCAAGCTTATTTGGCTTCATCGAGTGACGAAGAGGAGGAGGAGATGGAAGAACACCAAGGTACTTCTAACTGTTTAAGTTCTGTATAAAGAATACAGGATTTAAAAACCATTTTTCATAGTCAGTTTTCCCCTGCTTCTCCTTTCTAAAGAAGGATTAATAGGAAAATGATAGTCTCTAGTATATTAGGCTACTTAATATTATTATTTCGAACACTTCTCAGTAATGAAATGGCTATCCTGCTGAGGGAAAACAAACTTCAAGTAATTTCAGTCTGACAAGACAGAGACCAGGTTCATGTGTAATGGAAAACTGTAGCTATCGGCTAGGTGAATAAGCCTACATGAGCCTCTGGCTTGTATTCTCCCTCTTTCTTCTCCTCTTTCACAACTATAAGTTGATTGATTCATGATTTCTGCATTTGGTGATCTGTGGTGATCTGTGGTTGGCTGGTTATGTTCCAGTTAATGGGAGAAAGACTGAATCCTGTGTGTACTTAGCTGAGAGTAAGTCCCACTGAACAGAAAGAGACTTAATTTTGAGCAAACATGTACAGTATTGTACTATATACCAGGATCAAACCATGGTGTCAGATCCTTCCTTACTCTATCTAGAGTTTGCTTAGCTAATTAAGGCCAACTGATGGCCTTAATTAAGGCCAACAGTTGAGACATTTTAATGGATTAAAATCACTGGAGATTATATCCTGGTGTTTGCAAAGTAAATGGTTGCTTCCATTGTGTAGAGCTTTCTTTAGAATGGTGTTACAGGAGGAAAGATGAGAGGCACCTGTTTTGGCTTATTTGCTTATTCCTCCCCACACTGCCTGTGGCTCATATTGTCCCAGAGGTTCCCCCAACTGCCAGAGCAGATTTTCAGGGAGCTGAAAACAGTCACTGAATGAAAGCTGCCTTCTCCCCTGTTCTGCCAGTGGAATTTCTTTGCTGGTCCAGAAGCCTTTCATGGATGGACGGAGTATTTCCATTCTGGCTCGAATCCAAAGAACTGAAGTAAAAAAAATTTACAGAGTGAGTTGCATTTATCATCAGGCTTTATGCTCCTTTTTTCAGGAGTAGTAACATATTCCAATATAACCACTAGGATTAAAGCTTCTGCTAATTCTCTCAAGATTAGTGCCCACACTTCCAAGTAAAGCTCATTTATCACTAAAAGTCACTAAGTACTCATCAACTCATGGCTGTAGCAGAGCTTTATCTGACAGCTCAGTGTGCTTCATGGATATGCTTACTGCAAACCTGTAAAAGAGAGAGACTTGTTTTATTTTTTCCGAAATTTGAGATGCATGCTGTGGCTAGCTAAATACTGAACAGCTTCAAGGAAGCCATTGAGTTCATATGTGAGCAGAGATTTGAATGGAGAAACTGGTTGGATCAAAATTCAGGCCCCTAGTTACTAATTGTACTGTTAGTGATTCTCTGGCCATGTGCACCAGGTGTATGGGGAAAGGAAAGCAACTTTTGCTTTGTGCTTCATGTGCTTATGCAGGTCTTTGTGAATATGACCTTGTTTGCACAATTAAGCAACCCAAAGGTTATTAAGCATGGGAATGCATGGGAGTGAGTGAATATGCTAGCTCCCCAATGCTTGCTTGCATCTGGTATGCTAAATAACCCAAGGAAGTCAACTCCTACCCTTCACCCAGCAATGCAGAGTATTCACTTGTCATGGTAAACAACTGAGGGATAGGGCACTCAGGGTTGTTGAGTGCCAGGTGGGGACACGGGCTGGCACAACTCATTCCTACACACACCTAAGCAAGCTATGGTTAACAAAAGGTGGGCTGTTTTATAGTGTAAAATGGGCTTGTTAGTAGTTCCACTGGGATACCCTGGCAAATTTAGAATGTTCAGACTTACTGTAGTTGACAGGTAGAATCTCATTTACAAAGCCTCAAGAGGTTACCAATCCACTAAGCTTATTTTAAAGATCAAACTGTTTATGTTGTGAAGAGTATGTCCGGCTTGGAGGTTTATGTGGCAAAACCATTTGAGAGAACAGCTTTTTTGCATTTTATTCTTGACTCAAAGAAGGGTTGTGTAATTGTTTAGTAATTTGTAATTTAGGTTAAAACAAATTAATTATGTTTGTGTGTTGTCATATTGGACTGAGAACTATAATGATATCCTCAATAACTGGCTCTCAAGAAATTTATAACAAGTTGTATGAGCATTGCTCAACCTGACACCCTCCAGATTCATTGTACTACAACCCCCTTCATGCCCAGCTTGCTTGGCTGTGTGCTGCTGTCCACTGCAACTTGGGGGCACCAGGTTGCTACATATCATTTGACAACTGTGGACATATGGAAATGGTTATTTTTGGCTTATTATATGAAACAAATTCTTAAAGTGACATTGTTAAACAGGAGCAATTGAGGCTAAATCATGTGAACCATCATTGTGTAAACCAGGGCTCAAAGTCACATATGTGGTGAAAATAGGTTTTCTTTGAACCTTTAGAAGAATTGGATTGCTGCTGATGTAGTTGGGGCTCTGGTTGTTTATGGAAATATTTATTTTCCTTTGAAACTGGGTGCCTGATATTGAGCAATTTTAGAGAAACTGAATACCCTGTGGGTTCTGGAGCCAGTGTCTTGCCAGTTGATGTGAACATTTGTGGATAATGTTTGGTATGTTTTTGGAGGACTGTTGGCTGTTGAAATAATATGAGCGACACATACTATGAATCAGTACTACTTCCCCACTGAAAGCAGTGGGACGTGCTTAATTTGACTGGATTGCACCTATATCGTAGTGTTGTGATGGTACTGCTGAACTGATAGTTTTAGCATTACTTTTCTAATTTTTTCTGTGAGTTCAGCTGTACTCATGTATGATTTGTTGAAGGGGACAATGCAGAATGTAGATTTACTTTTTTTGGTGGGGGGAAGAGAATATTTTGCCAGATTTTCTTGTTTAAAAGTGCCAAATAGTATGCCACTTGCAAAGTTTCCAAATTAGAACTCATTGCCAGTGCAACTGTAAAGAAAAGATTAAACTGTGATGTCCAAGAAACGGCTCCATGATCCTATGCACTGCTAACGGTAACTGAGAAGCCAGGTTTAAGCTGTGTCACCATAACACAGGCTTCCTTGTGGATTTTCAGCCTGGAAAGTTCTTGAATTTAGTTATGTTTTTGAAAATAAGCTTTTAATAGAAAATACACAGCCATTTCTTTAACATGTTCCTCATGTTATTCGTTGAGTTACAGAGACTATATGACAGAATTCGAGCCAGTGTGTTTATTGTGGCACTAAGCACAAACAGGGGAAAAGATGAATGTCAGCTGTTTGAATAGAAATGTAGAAAGTTTGATCAGATGGAAGGAATGTCCTGTACTGTTTATTCTCTTTAACATATTTGTTTAAAAGGTGCTGCATATAAAAGAGCAGTTGATTTGTCTCATCTTGGTCAGCTGCACGTAGACAGGTTTGTTTTCCAAAGCTCAGCTGGATTTTAATTGAACTTAATTCCTGAACAAAATCTATGTTTGGTTCTAATAAGGTAGAGTTGGTGAACAGTGTCCATGACTCTTCCTTTTCAAATAGAGGGACAGATTCAGAGACAAGGTGAGCCTCTGTGGCATATGTAAGACCAGGGGCAGGGGGCACAGCCAAGTGGTAGATTGCCACACAGGTCGAGGAAACCACAGGTTTGGTCCCTGGCATCTCCAGGTCAGGCTGGGGAAGAATTCTATGTGAAACTCTGGAGAACCACTGCCAGTCAAAGTGGACAACACTATACTGGATAGACAGACCAGTGGTCTGATCTGGAGTAAGACATGCACCTATCCATAGATGAGCTGGAAAGGTACATCTGTCTCAATTATTAAAGCCCTGTGCTTGCGGTTATCATGCCTTAAATATACAGTGGTTGGCTTGCTGGCTGGCTGTTGGCCTGATACTTAAGTTGCCTAATTCCCTGGAGGGTTTGTTCACCTATTTTATCTGTATCGCTTAAAACAACCATGCCTACATTTAGACTTACATATTTTTTAACATTACCTCTTTTTTCCTTTAATGATGATGGGGTAATACACACAGCAGACAGTGATCAACATAAGCACCACCCAAAAGATGATGAAGAGCAAATTTCAAAATACAGAGAACTTCTTCGGAATATCCAGGAAAAAGAAAAGAAGCATCAAGAAACTGATATGGAAATGGAGATTAAGTGGGTTCCAGGTAGATGACTTATGGTATTTGCCATATTTATTTTTCTGTCTCTAAGTTAATCCCTTCTTCCTTTGTACATAACAGTATGCAATAATCTCAGCAAAACAAACTGTTACTTAATTTTTAGTGCATGTTATCCATGTTGTCCTGATGGAAGGGATGCGGTGGTGCAGTGGGTTAAACTGCTGAGCTGGTTGATGGAAAGGTTGACAGTTTGAATCCGCACATAGAGTGAGCTCCCGTTCTTTGTCCCAGCTCCTGCCAACCTTGCAGTGTGAAAGCATACATATGCAAGTAGGTAAATAGGTACCACTTCGGTGGGAAGGTAACAGCATTCCATGCACCTCAGTGTTTAGACATGCTGGCCACATGACCACAGAAATTGTCTGTGGACAAACGCTGGCTCCCTCAGCTAGGAAATGGAGATGAGCACCACCCCCTAGAGTCAGACATGACTGGACTTCAATGTCATGGGGAAACCTTTACCTTTTATCCTGATGGAAGACTCTCAAATCCTTGTTCACCTTTTATTACTTTACATTAGCCAGTTTTCTGCTTGGCATTGACCTGCTCACCTATTTAGAGAAAAGCATATTAGAGGAGGATGACTTGCTGAAGCTGCCTTTCAAAAATATTAAGCATGCTTTGTGTTACACTTGTAGTCTTGGGGAGATTTTTCCCAAAGTAAGATAGGGTTGCCTGCCATAGACCTGTGGTGAAGCTTCATCTCTGAGTGGTAGAAATATGGCTCTGAAAATGTTGCTTTTCAGTTGCTAGATGCAGAAAATGTATTGCATGTATTGTCAAGGCTTTCTCTGGTGTTTCTGCCACTGCATCAGGCACAGGTGATTAACCCACACCATTTTTAAAGGACAGCTTATCCCATCATGGCTTGGCAAATGCGCAGTGCCAGCACATACAAATGCAGCTCATATTTTTTCCTTCCTCCATACCATTCTCCATTCCACCTCCTGCAGGGGAAGACAATTGAGTGATACATACCTGACATTTTTCAGAGTTCCAGCACCCTGAGCAAATGCCATGTAGGTCACTTTCCTCTGCTCCCCTCTAGGAGCAGCTTCCATCTAGCATGTTGTTTGTTTATTTATTTATTTAGAAGACTTCTATGCCACCCCATTTGCCGAAGCCTCGGGGTGGCTCACAATAATAAATAAATAAGCGCAGTATAAAACAATATAGTATGAGTCGACCTGGCCCGAAAAATAAAATAAATAATACTAACAATTAAAATAATGTTTGAATAAAAAGGTCTTTGCCTGGCGCCGAAAAACAAATAACGACGGCACCAGGCAGACATCTCTGGGGAGCGCATTCCATAGATGGGGCGCCACCGCAGAGAAAGCCCTCCTCCGAGTACTTACCCTCCTAATATCCTTCACGGAGGGTTCCCGGAGAAGGGCCTTTCTCACTGATTTCAAGGGGTGGGCATATATGGACGTAAGCGTTCCTTCAGGTAACCAGGACCCAAGCCATTAAGGGCTTTATAGGTCATAACCAACACCTTGAATTGGGCCCGGACTTCAATGGGGAGCCAGTGAAGCTGACGGAGAACTGGAGTCATGTGAACATAACGCCCCGTCCCCGTCAGCAGCGTGGCAGCTCTATTTTGAACCAATTGAAGTATCTGGACTGTCTTCAAGGGCAGCCCCACATTGAGCGCGTTACAGAAGTCAAGTTGGGAAGTCAGCAACGCGTGTGTCACTGTCACTGTTGTTCTTATCCATTGGCTTGAAATGAGGATTTGTACCATGACAAACCTTCCAACAAAAAATTGCAGTGGTGCAAATACCTACCCTTGTGTGGTAGGTTGCCACACAAAATGGCTTGTCATGTGAAGGCAGTCACCGTGGGAGTTGTTGAAAGCACAGGGGCTGTCTCTGTGTGAAGTGGCAAAGTTTTTAGTAGGAGGACCAGTGGCAAAGTTCTGCTTGTCCTCTGCTTTTTGTTTGCTCTGTGCCCCGTCTTTTCTATTTTTATGTATGTATCAAATGATTCCTATATCACCCTTCAGTTGACTTTTTCTACTCACTGGGGGTTTCATGAATGAGAAGAACATAACCATAGTGTCCTCTTCTTCCCTGGTAGAAGAAAATCTACTAGTTCTGAAAAAAGTAGTTAAATTTTACTTAGATCAGACCAAAAAAGATCTACAATTGTTCATTATTTCAATACTTTGACAAACTTGTATTATTGGAATTTCCTGACAGTTGAATTATACAGTTCTGTGATCTTTTTCAATAATCAATGAGTATTGACTATGTGCTCTGCAGCCAAAGATAGAGAAGCTCAATACAATCAGTAAAAACGAGAACAGGAGCTGACTGTGGCTCAGGTCATGAGCTTCTTGTTGCAAAATTTAGGCTTAAATTGAAGAAAGTAGGGAGAAGCACTAGGCCACTCAGGTATGACCTAAATCATACTCCTGATGAATATGCAGTAGAGATGACAAATAGATTAAAGGAATTAGATCTGATAGACAGAGTGCCTGAAGAACTATGGACGGAGGTTTGCAACATTGTACAAGAGGTAGCAACTAAAACCATCCCAAAGAAAAAGAAATGCAAGAAAGCAAAATTCCTGACTGAGGTAGCTTTACAAATAGCTGAGGAAAGAAGGGAAGCGAAAGGCAAGGGAGAAAGAGAAAGATACACCCAAGATACACCCAATTGAATGCAGAACTCCAGAGAATAGCTAGAAGAGCTAAGAATGCCTTCTTAAATGAACCGTGCAAAGAAATAGAAGAAAACAATAGAATAGGGAGGACCAGAGATCTCTTCAAGAAAACTGGAGATATGAAGGGAACGTTTCATGCAAAGATGGGCATGATAAAGGACCAAAATGGCAGGGACCTAACAGAGGCAGAAGAGATTAAGAAGAGGTGGCAAGATTACACAGAAGAACTATTCAAGAAAGAGCTTAACGTCCCTGATAACCACGATGGGGTGGCCACTGACCTCGAGCCAGACATCCTGGAATGTGAAGACAAATGGGCCTTAGGAAGTCTGAGCAACAACAAAGCTAGTGGAGGTGACAGTATTCCAGCTGAGCTATTCAAAATCTTAAAAGACGATGCAGTAAAAGTGCTACACTCAATATGCCAGCAAACTTGGAAAACTCAACAGTGACCACAGGCTTGGAAAAGATCAGTTTACATTCCGATCCCAAAGAAGGGCAATGCCAAAGAATGTTCAAACTACCGCACCATTGCACTCATTTCACAAGCTAGCAAAGTTATGCTCAAAATCCTACCAGCTAGGCTCCAGCAGTATGTGGACCGAGAAATACCAGAAGTACAGGCAGGATTTCGAAGAGGCAGAGGAACTAGAGATCAAATTGCCAACATACGCTGGATCATGGAGAAAGCTAGGGAGTTCCAGAAAAACATCTACTTCTGCTTCATTGACTATGCTAAAGTCTTTGATTGTGTGGATCACAACAAATTGTGGCAAGTTCTTCAAGAGATGGGAATCCCAGACCATCTTATTTGTCTCTTGAGAAACCTATATGCGCGTCAAGAAGCAACAGTGAGAACTGGACACGGAACCACTGATTGGTTCAAAATTGAGAAAGGAGTTTGTCAAGGCTGTATAATGTCACCCTGCCTATTTAACTTATATGCAGAACGCATCATGAGAAAGGCGGGGCTAGATGAATCACCAGTTGGAATTAAGATTGCTGGGAGAAATATCAACAACCTCAGATATGCAGATGATACCACTCTAATGGCAGAAAGTGAAGAG